CCTGCATGGAAGTGAAGCGTGAGGATGAGTTCTCGCCCTTGAAGAACGCTCGCGGAACTGGTGAAGACGACCCGGATACCAGCAAGGCGGACATCATGACCCAGGGCAGGAAATGGGTGCAAGCCGCCGGTGCGACTGTCGTTAGCGAGGACTCCGACTCCTACGTCGAAGTTTCACCATTGATCTCCTACGTAAGTTCTCGAGGCTGTTTGAGACAGGAGACTATATGCTAATCCAAAACAGGGTGGCGAAGGCCTTGACTTCCTCAAGAGCAGGACAATCAAGGCGCCTGCGGTCATCGAGTCTGAAGACTAGAAGACCTACAAATCTCGATACAACGTGTAGGCGCCCTGAGACCTTCTTTTCGGAACGACACAGTAGAGTAAGAAATATGGCCACCCACTCTTACAACGGAAGCTCCACTACTGTTGGCATTGAATAATACATAGACACGAATACTTATGAATATATCGGCCAGTTGCCTCTTCGGCGCCTCTGACATATCTGGACCTCCCAAAGGGTGATTACTAACTGACTTGTGGAGAAGCTAACTTTATGTCCTAGCTCCAGACATGCGACTGCAGCAATGGTGTCATGAAGCGGGGCAGAAACATAGTTCTCGAGCTGGCGGCAGCAGCGGAGGAATTGGAAAAGATAGGTCAGGGGCCGACGGCATGAGGAAAGCGCCTTTGCTGCACGAAGATAGGAGACAGAAGTCGTCTAGGGTGAAGACGGTAAGGTTGCAGTTGTTTGAAACGTCGCATGATGCAATTGGGGGCCGTTTGGGACGCACTTTCGACCTCGGGAAGAACCAGATTGCGCATTTCGCTAGCGCACGGAGCAGGGACCACCGTCATGGGAGATGCATTTTGCCCGTTGCCCGAACATTCCACGATCCCCTCATTCTCTCACCACATACACCACTGGCAGGAGGTTGAAGAAGTGTCGCAGCGGGAAGAAGGTCTGGAAAGTTGAAAGAAAGTAGGTTGCGCCTGCCGAGGATTCCTCCGTCTCGAGGGTGCGCGCGAGGTTCCGCCCTGGCGCGTGCTCCGTCCGCAGTCTTTACCCCTCGACAACAGCCCCTCGAAAAATCTGCGACTGACTGGCGAACGCAGGTGAAGAAACTGAGGAAGTAAACGAAGCAGGTACGTGCGCCTATCACTCCTGCTGTTCGGCGCGCATTCCCTCGAGCAAACCAGAGGATCAAAGCACACGTCGCAGCAAACACACCACACAACCGCCCCTCCTTCGCGATCCACTCCTCCTCGCTGCTCACACAACCACCGACTATATACTTATTCGGTGCCCAGATATACGCAGAGAAACATTATCATGTCTTCTCTATCCCGTCGTGCGTGCTTCAAGTGCGGAAACGTTGGCCACTACGCCGGTAAGCGATATCCGCGCATCTGCTCGGCGCGCGCTGCAGTCGCATGGTCGGGACACGTATCGCGAACATCGTCTCTGGCTGCGGTATCTGCATCGCGTGACCCCGAGCGATGGGGCAGTTTGTACAAGAGACCGCGACTAACAACAATGCGCAGAGGTCTGCTCTTCGTCTGAGAGGCTTTGCTACAACTGTAAGACCACACCTAACCACCGCTTGCGACTATGGACTAATCTTTCCGCAGGCAAGCAGCCAGGCCACGAGTCCAACGGATGCCCGCACCCGCGCACCACCGAGAGTACGTCACTCCGAGTCCACGCGCATGTTGAGAACACAGGTGGCTATACATCCAGAGAATGAAGGACTGACAAAGGAACAGCCAAGCAGTGCTACCACTGCCAGGGTCTCGGACACGTCCAGGCTGACTGCCCGACTCTGCGCCTGAGCGGAGCCGGCACAAGCGGACGTTGCTACAGCTGCGGTATCGCCGGCCACCTTGCCCGCAACTGCCCCAACCCTGGAATGGGTCGCGGCGCTGGTGCTCCCCGTGGCGGATACGGAGGAGGTTTCCGTGGCGGCTTCGCTGGCGGCGCTCGCCCGGCCACCTGCTACAAGTGCGGTGGACCCAATCACTTTGCCCGGGACTGCCAGGCCCAAGCCATGAAGTGCTACGCCTGCGGCAAGCTTGGTGAGTAAACTGAGCGCATCCCTAGTCACAATTCCTGACCAAACTAGGCCACATCTCCCGCGATTGCACTGCTCCCAACGGCGGCCCATTGAACACTGCCGGCAAGACCTGCTACCGCTGCGGCGAGACTGGTCACATCTCCCGCGACTGCACACAGGCTGAGGTCAACGGCGATGCTACCGCTACCCCTGTCGCTGCTGCTCCCGTCCCGGCCGCTGCCCCCACCGCTACTGTCGCTTAGATGACAGTGAGCTTCGCCAGAGGTCCACCATTGAGTAACATCGCGGCGACCACTGGCTTATCAGGCATGCATTTCCATGCCTTCCCTTAGTTTGTCATTTCATCACAATCGTTTTCCTGGCCAATCTCAGCATCATATCGGCATATCTCACGCATTCACGAGTCATCAACGGATACGGCAAAAGTTCTTCACGATTCTTACACTGATACCCCACGAACATTGTATCCCTTACTTCAACCATTCTACCATTATTTCGACAGACGACGGCTTGGCGATTTGGACGGCGGCCTGTCTGCATGCAAGTGATTTGGATCGACTGCGGCTTCGGCAGAAGCGTTGTTGATGCGAATTTGCTTGGATAGATCAGGTTCGCTTATGGAGCTGGAGGCGGCTGTGGTGGTTTGGTGTGGAAAGAGTGCCCCCGGGGGTTGAGGGGGAAGAGTGAAGGAGACTGTGTGTGTTTGTCGGGAGCTGAGTCGGTATATCTGTCTGTTATCATGTTTACACTTTACTATGCTTGCATGTGATAGATCTAGATTGTATCATCTATTTCGAATATATGCAATCTCATGAACTTCCACTTTCCGAGTTTTAATTTGTTGCTGACATCGCGCCATAGCCATAAGCATCTAAGCCACCCAAATCTGAGAGTTATCGCGATGTCTGTTTTGAACATACCCGAAGGGTACATATATTACCGTCTTTGCATCCAGGCTCTTCTTACAATCGAGCCGATGCAGGTTCATCTTTATCTCAGGGTTGAAGGACATCGTGTTGGTGGTGGCTGCCCCTTCCTTCCTTTCAGTCACACACGTGGAGTTGAGCCCAGCGCTCCTTCCCATCATGCCTCCCTCTACGATCTCACCTCCGCAGAATTTTCTGTCATCTCGGCTCGCATTCTTCGCACCGTCACTCGCAAACGCATCATCCGTAGTTCGCTCGTATCGTTCCTTTTCATCTCATCTCGCGTCAGTTATCACCAGCAGTCACTATGGGTGCTTCTTCGGTTGCCAGCGACGACTCAAACAACGATGTGAGTAACTGCCTCCTTCCAAAGTAGATTGAGTTTTGACTGACCACGAAAAGGACGGCTTCATCGTCGACATCGATGCGATTCAGGCGCACGGCATCGGTGCTGTCGACATTTCGAAGCTCAAGTCAAACGGCTACTATACGATCGCGTCGGTGCATTCGGCTACTCGTCGCAACCTCCTCAAGATCAAGGGCTTCAGTGAGATCAAGGTTGACAAAGTCAAGGACGCCATCGCCAAGTGCCAGGTACATTACTGCAGTAGGCCAGCACTTGAGTGTGCATCACTGACATCCATTCTAGCCTTCTGGTGGAGGCTTCCAGACCGCCCACGAGCTCGGACATCTACGCAAGCGTGTCATCAAGATCTCCACTGGCAGCAAGGCACTCGATGCAGTCCTCGGAGGGTGAGTGCACATCGCAGTCGATCTTCCGAGCATTGACGCTGACTACATACAACAGTGGCTTCCAAACCATGAGCATCAGCGAAGTCTTCGGAGAGTTCCGCTGCGGAAAGACCCAGCTATCACATACAATGTCGGTGATTGCGCAGCTGCCGAAGGACATGGGTGGCGCAGAAGGCAAAGTGGCATACATCGGTACGTTGGATATCGCTCTCTTCGAACGCCGCTGACCGCGATGCAGATACCGAGGGTACGTTCCGGCCTGAGAGGATAGCCCAGATCGCAGAGCGTTTCGGAGTAGACCCTGAGACTGGTGGGTATCGTTCTCATATCCCTATCGCGTCTCTACTGACCGTCCATAGCCCAAGACAACATCACCTATGCTCGCGCTGTTAACTCGGAGCATCAGATGGAGCTGCTCAACAAAGTCGCCGAGTTCTTCGTCAGCAACGAGTACCGACTACTCATCATCGACAGCATCATGGCCCTGTTTCGTGTCGATTATACAGGTCGAGGTGAACTGAATGAGCGCCAGCAGAAGCTCAACCAGTTCCTCTCCAAGTTAACGCATGTCGCTGAAGGTGCGCGAAAGATTACTCCCAATCTTTGATATCTGCTAACATCACTCAGAGTTCAATGTCGCTGTGCTATTGACAAACCAAGTTCAGAGTGACCCTGGTGCGAGCGCTCTCTTCGCTGGCGCAGACGGTCGCAAGCCGATCGGTGGCCACATCCTTGCTCACGCGTCTGCTACGAGGATTCTGCTCCGCAAGGGTCGCGGTGAGGAGCGTGTTGCCAAGATTCAAGACTCTCCTGGTGTGTCATCTTTTGTCGCTGTTACTCTTACTACCGCTGCTAATGCATCGCTCTAGATATGCCAGAGAAGGAGGCGACGTACATCATTACCAACGGCGGTATCAACGATCCGGAGAAGGTGTGACAGACCTGTAGTCATCTCGCTTCGGTGCATCTATAAGGGACGATCTTTGGAACAAGTGGTGGTTTACGAGATGGAGTAATGTAGTTCTTTATTTCTCGAGCATGAGAAGCTGTTGCATGATATTCTGATGTATGTATGTCAATTATAGTTTGCTCGAGCTATGATGGCAGTGAATGAGTGCCTGGACTTGTAGTTCGTACTCAAATATGTACACGAGTGTCACAAACCATGTTGTAAGATCAGTGCAAGGCCACGAAAAATCGACAATAGACCTAAGTAGTGGCATTGCAGTAGTCTACGAACAGCAAGCCTACAGCTTTATAGTAAGATTGTACATGTCTAGACCCACTGCGACTGCAGTGACAGCGGCAATGTATGCGACGAGTATTGCCATGGACTGCGTAACACTCATGTGCAAGGTCGGGAACGTCATGTTGACCAGACCTGTGAGTAGATTCGCCACAAGGAAGACTGCGAGACCATTGCGGTTGAAAGCATAAAGCACAGTGCTGGTAGCATCCCTGCTTCTCCGCGATTCCTCGCTTTTGGTCGTAGCTTTGTACAAGTTCGGAAAGAGGAAACTTTCGATAGCGTAACAGATGGTGATTTGGTAGCTGTTGAACGACGAGACCCAGAGGAAGTAGGGCAGATTGGCTAGGCGGCGCGATACAGGGAGTCGAAGACCGTAGTAGCTGGTTGAGAAGTAGAACAACACTGTCCAAAGCATGGAGGTCATTATTAGCTTGCCGAATGTGGATTGCCGAAGCTTCGTCTGGAATGACGCATCCTTGGGGATCTGCTGTTGCCTAGGTAGTGCGGAGGCGCCCAGCGATTGACCAGCAAGGAAGATGGCGAGATAGCCGAAGAAAGAGAATATGCCTTCTCTGTTCTGAGAGAAGAGATCCGTACGTGGGGCTATTAGGATGAAGGATCCGAGGGAAGTCCAGTCCAAGGCAATCTCGTAGACGGCAGCCAAAGTAAACGAGAGGATGGCGTAGGAAGGTACCAAGTCAAAGGCCGTCTGGAAGAGAGCAGCGAATGGGGGAAGGAAGCCGAGGGTGAAGAAGAAGTTCCAGTGTACACCATACTCCGTGACATGCTCGGCATAGTCCAGTCCTTTTACAGAGATGAGCCGTATGATGCCTAGAACCAGGAGTGGGATGGCGTGTCTGATTGATGCTGTCAAGCGCTGTGACAGCGACTGAAGACCAGCTCCTTCCTTGAGAGATGCCCGGACAGACACCACCCCGGCTGTGAAGACGAAAGATCCCACACCCATATCCATGAGCGATGTACCCCAATTCTCCACCTTCGCGAAGCGCCTCGGAAAGACGCGGAAGTCGACTGCTAGAATAGCAACACACGTTATAACCATCATCGCGCCACGGTAATTCGTTATAAACGGCTTGACGGGCAGCGCATCGAGCTTCGTGTCCTTTTCCGACTTATCGATCTTCGGTGGCCTGGGAGCGTCCTTCACCGCGACCGGTTTCTCGAAGACGTATAACGTGATTGCTGGGAGTAGCAAAAGGAGGTTCAGGATCCATGGCGAGGTGGAGTATATGGTAGTCGCGAACAACGTGGCACCGCAGTTGAGCAGGAAGTCGACGAGGAAGGCAGGCGGCGTGTACGGCGTAAAGAGGCGCATGCGCGACTGGATGACAGACCAAAGTAGAATGCTCAGCTGTGCATGCGGTTAGTAAGAGTGCATTGCTCGAGTAGTGGGTGTGTGTACGGTACAGGCATTGCGAGCGAGACGCTGTTCACGTCTGCTACGGAGCTCCCGGTGTGTCCAGACACCCAGGCCTCCTTCATTTGCTTGTATGTCTTCGCCATGATGCTAGAAAGAGCGATGCGCGAGTCGGTCGTCTACTATGCAATGAATTGGTTCGGGGTATTGGACGCGTCTGGCTGGCCTCTTCGCAAACGGGAAGTGGCCCAAGCTTTGATGACCTCACACATCGCGACTTCCACACCTTCTCTTCTACACACTGCACAGGGTGATGTAGAGAATATGACCAAAACCCGGGGACTGGTTATTATAGTTGACACCGAAATCATGGAACGGTATGTGATTTTCACCAGGGATGCCAGAAAGAGTAGGAGTGCACTGCACGTGTCCGGACTTCCTCTTTCACCATCACTGCTCCTCTATGAGTAGACGCGTCCGTGCGCAAAACTCCAGATTTGGCAGCTACAACAGAAATCTCAGCCGCCTTCCCACCGCATCGCGACCGCCCCGCGCCGACACGTGCCGAACCTCTTTGCTGTGACCTCCTGACAGCTTGTCAAAGCTGTCAACACATGCTAACATGACGGGCGCTAACAAATCAAAGATACCCAGCATCCGACCGGCCTCGTTTGGCGTGAGAAGTCCGCTGCCTGAGAGGGCATTGTCGCCGGCAACGCGTGCGACGACAACGCCTACGGGCACTTCACGCCTCCCTCGTCGCCCTCAAAGTGAGAAACCGCTGCCGAGTCCGCCTGTCGCGCAGGTGGTAGACCCCAACTCGCCTCCCAAGGCTGCGCGCACCTTGGTGGATGCCTTTACGCCGAGCCCAACCCTGGAGAACTGGCCCATTCTCGCCCCAGAGAACATTCCTCCTCGCCTGAGTTCGAAGAGGAGCTCGCTCCCTACGCGAAGCGGGATCAACTCTGGCCGTCAAACACCTTCCAATGGCAAGGAAGGCAACAGGGTAAAGCGACTCTCATGGCATTCGACGGCGTCAGGCTCAAGCTCAGGAACCGGACCCATCCTCACGATCTCTGCCGATGCAGATGCTGTCATCCTCGGTCAGCGCGACTCCATTCCGGCAGTGCCCGCTATCCCTGCGGTACTACCAGAGCGTACTCCTCAGCCGCGTTCTCTAGGTGCTCTTGCTAGTCGAATCACCAGGGCGACAACGTCCAAAGCATCCTTGAGCATTGCGACTACATCGCCAGTACACAGCACGGCGGAACTCACGGCAAATGGAAGTCCGGTTGTCAAGATCAGCCCCATTCGATCAATGCAGCCAGCGAGGAAGCCTAGTCTTGACGCTCATTCTCCCCAGCTGCCTTCGTCTCCGTCTATGATCTTCCCAGACGCGACAACTGTCGGTAACACACCTGAGGTAATTGTAGAGACTGAGCGCAGTGTATCGCCGATCTCAGATAGGTCTGCGACGCCTACACCAGAGCCCAGGTCCGCACCGTTGCTTCGAGACTCCTCTGACCCGCCTGTTGATTCCTGGGACGCCTATCAGGTATGTGAACTCGATTACGTGACGTGACAGTGCTAACGATAGATCAGGAACAGCTTGAAGAGCTCTCTGAGCCTACGATTGTACCAGGACCCGACGACTCCCTCACAGTGAGCAAAGTCAGGCGGACAGCACCAGCACGCGAAGACGCGAGTCCCTCACCAAGCTCGATTTACCCTACTGTCGAGGACGACTCGACCGCAAACCCCAGTGCTGCCGAATTGAGTTCTTCGTCACTGCCTCACGCCGAGCCTTCACGCGAGACCGTCCACACCCAGGCTCCTCCCAAGCCAAGGACCGCGGAGACTGCCAGGTCGATCAGTATTGATAACGCATTGGGCCGTGGAATTCCTAAAGCCCGTCAGCCCTTTCGCCGCCACGTCACACCTGTAGTCTCTTCGTCACCTGCAGAAGATACACCCCCGGACAACCATGATAAAGAAACTGTTACGAGCAGGATCAAAGCCAAACGCAGCATTCGTAACCTATTCAACCGTGAGAAGACAAGCCCAAAATCACCAGAGGCGGCGGCGTCCAAGCAAGGATTCATGAGTAGCACGCGAAGCTCGCTCGCTAAGGTCTTGCGCGATTCCAAGAGCCTCTCGAAAGTCCATCTGCCTAGAAAGACTGAACCGAAGCTGGAGACTGAGTCTGATCACGTCTCTAATAAGAAGAGCTTCCAGCCAGGCATGTTCGCTGCATTTCCCAGCGGTAGAGCCACGCCGGCCGAACAGCCATCGTCTGGAAGACCGAGCCACGCAGATGAGATGCTTCACGACATCGTTGACCGCATAGATGCGCAACCTGAGAACTCACAAGAGCGTCTGCGTCACGTGGAGATTGCAGAGGTAAGTGAAACCCTCCAACAATTGAACACCAGGGCTGAAGCCCTCCGATTGAAAGCCATTGCGGAAGACGAGCTTGTCCTGACTGTACAAAATAAACAGTGTATCATTTCGGCCGCCGATAGTTCTCGCAAAGCCAACATCAGCGCTATGGAAGCGAGGAAGAGCGCTGTTGAAGCGGAATATCATGCCGATCGCGTCACGTCCGAATTCACACGCCTGCGCGAGCTACTCGACACCACGCCGATGGATGCTGAGTCCACGAGATACATCAAGAGTTTCCTACCTAAATTTGAACGCAAACGATCGAGAGAGGAGATTCGCCGAGGATTTATGCCGGGCTTTCATACAGCATGTTGAAGGTATGGTAGCATTCTCCATGTACCCATAAACCAACAGCTGACAAAGAATAGCGCGCCTTGAACACCGCTTCGTATGCTCTGCTACCACACACATCCGGCTATTGTTCAAGGCTCGTTCTTTGCATGATTGACGCAAGGTCATATCTACGACTTGATCTTGTTGCGTGGATCTGGGCTTTCCGGATTTTACCGGACCAGATGACCTCTTGTACACTTCCATTTCCTTTTATCGACACTTCTTTCACATGAGAGAGACACTATGGCGGGACGATTGTACGATACCCAACGATTGCATGAGTTTATGGTTTCGCGATGCTATGAAAGCACACGCTCATGGACCGACACGATGTCTTGCTCATTATTCAGCAAGGACATCACCTAATGGTTAAAAGACTGCACGACTGGACACTGAGTTACTGGATCGAACTGCACTTACATGCCAACACGTAAGGTGCAACATTGGGAGATACCCTGATACATAGACCGGTCGAATTGAAAACATAAACTTTGTGTTGTACATGTCCTTCGTATCGTGCGATATCATTGCTAGGACTGTGGCCACGTCGACAGTCGCGCATCAACGGGCTGGAGTGGGGTATGTAAAGCAACCCTCCAGCATCTCCCACTAGAGAAACATTTGCTGCAATGGTGCTCCTACACAGCCGTGGTCACCCGACAACGTGGCGCTTCTGCTCGCAAATGCAAGACCTCTTGTAGCCCAAAGCAACAGACACGACGTTTATCCATATCATCCAGCCTCAGCCCCCGCGCATTCATTGTAGTATTCTTCTTTACATTCCACCACCAAACATGCCACCGCCACCACCCTGCTTTCCTTGCGCCTCACCCTGCATCTTCTCGCTAACCTTGACATTGACCTCGAAGAACTTGGATACGCAGCGGTCCAGGCACACGGATTCGCCCTTGTTGAGATCGGCTTCGCGGTACGATGTGTCTATGCATTTGGATGTGCAGGATTTGACGAGGCTGGAGCAGTGGAAGTTAGGAAATGCTGATTTTGGAGGACTTGAGGGTGAAAGGGAGGAGGAAGGGAGGGTTGGGGGAGAGCGATTCAGACGTACCGGCTGTACATGTCGGAAACCATGTCGATTTCCGCTTCGGCCTGTGCAATCTTTTGCTCCGAAGAGATTTGGGGTTTTTGACCGAAGAACATTGACATGTTGGGTGGTGGATGGTTGTTTCCTTTCTAGGGTAGGTGAGAGAAGTGCGCAATTGGCGAGTTGGTTGGGTTGGTAGGTACGGGACGGGTGCGTGGTGGCTTGTTGGGGTGGAGTGGCCGTGGTGATGGATTTGGACATGGGTGACGGCGGGCGATGATGTCGCGCGAGCAGGAATTTGGAGCTGGGTGCGCGGTGGGGGACGTGCGGCGAGGAGGCTTGATGACGCGGTATGCCAACCATCAGTTCGCCTCTGCGTCTTTGGGCAAACTTCGCAGTCATGGCTACTCAGCACGTCGCTTTACGTTTTCCATTCGCTCTTTCAGCCATCAGCCGCATCTATCACCTCCTGAACCCCGGGCGTCCGGCGCAATGACTAGACTCGCGTTCGCCGTCATCAATATGAGTATCCGGGATCCTGCAATGAAGGAGAGACACTGTTCATATCTCGATGAGATATTCAAAATCAACGACTTCAAGCTTTTCCTGTCCAGCTGAACATATATTGCTGTTTGACAAACTTCAGATACCACAAAGCCCACGCTCGCTGCTCCTACAAGTATCCATGGATGCCTCCTCACAACCCATCTCTGGGCTCATCTCTTTGTTTCCGCCACGATGAACTCCAGATCACGCATCCGTAAGCAACCAACTTCGACAAATCATAGCTTCCTCACGAGTTTTCCTTCTGAGCTGCGAAATCAGATCTACGAATACGTCTTCGATGACTTTAATCATGCTATATTGGTCACGCACACGGCCGCTTCAACGGATGACGGCAGGCCAATGAACGCATCACCACGTATGGGAACCAACAATTCCGTTTTCTTCTGTAACATACCGTCTGTACAGCTGCTTCGGTGTTGCCGACAGATCTACCGCGAAGGCATGGGTGTGATCCTGAACGGGACGACAGTCATGTTCAAAAATCGGCGTAACTTCTTGCCCTTCCGGGAGAGGGACCACCTGCCATTTGTACGTTCCTGGCTGAAGCATTTTCGATCAGAGACCCCGCTCTTGCGAGCAGTCGTTGTCGATCTGTCTGTACCGCCCCTTCCCTATCACAACGACCACCACAAGCGTATAGATCTCCTCCCTTTACTAAGCAGCATGGTTGGCTCGCCTCAAGCAATATTGTGGGTTGACTTCACGTTGAGTCCACGATCACCGCCAATTCCGTCGGTACCAGACTACACGAACGCTCGCCTACGTTTGGGTTATCCTCATTGGAGAGATGCTCCGGATCAAGACTTACTGGAAGGAACGGTGTACACACTTGTGACACAAGATCCACTTGATCTTCGTAGACTTGGCGATTTAGGCCGCCGTCTTTCGTGCATCACGTTTGACAGGTCTGTAATCAAAGGTAACATCAGATGGCGCACCATCACTGGTTGTCTGGCGCCCAATATAAACTTCAAAGTTCCTGAAGACAGTTGGGTAATCCACAAGAGACACGTCCAATCGACCTCCAATCTCTTCTTCCTCCCACCAGATGTCCTGGGGACAATTCGCGAATACGCACTAAGCTTACTTGAGAGCGTAGTTGTCGTCCTCGGTTCGAAGACAAGCATATTTCCGAAATTTCTACTGCTCAACCTTGTCAAGGAGCGTCCAAGACTCCTCGGCGTTGTCGTACCTAGTATCTACATTTCGAACACGTTCACATTTGTTACGAATCTTCATACGAAACGCGCAACATACGGAGACATGTCACACCTGTTCTTTTGGCTGAGAATGGACGTGCTCGACATTCGGACGGCCGCCACGACAAACCCAGAGACGGTTCACAGAGTCAAAGAAGAAACAAAACGGAGATCTGGCAAGAGATTAGCCAGGGCCACCACCAGAGCAGCCGCCGGACAACGTAAGATTTTGTCGGTGACGTATTCCGAAAGAGTGGTTGATAGAAAGATGATGTCTTGGCGACTGGCTCGTGAAGCTAGGCAACGACGTAACGACAATCAGGCGAAGGCGGCTCAGACAACGGCTACGAAAGACGCACGAACAATCTTGCGGTGGATGAAGGCTGTCCAATTTGAGTTTCGATTCGATCTCTGCGAGAGAACGCCATTAGAGAGCTTACGGATCAGCATCATCGACTTACTCAAAACGACAACATGGGACGAACCTTTTAATGCCACCATCAAATGCGTACTTACTTGCCCTGGGAAAGATGGTCACACGGCGCACTACGAAAGCGCCTTCACCCTCCGCCGTGTACAGCTTAACGCTTTCGTTATCCTGTCTCACGTACTGGAAGCCCAGCCCGGCAGGTTGACATGGACTTGTCCAAACGTCTACATCAACGGCGTCGGCACCGCCGTAGAGATCACGTATCGAAACAAGCCCCGAGGGCCGAGGTTTCACGGCGCCACCCACGATATGAGCAACCCAACAAAAGCAGAGGAGCGTGGTAAGCATTACGCTAGGTGGCTCAAGCATTTAGTGCCTGTGGGGGGGAAGGCTTGGGAGGGTAAGGAGATGACTGATGACGAAAATCGAGTTCCGGGTAGCTTGATCAGGGTGTGGGATGATTTGAGGATCGCGCTATGGGGTGAAGGTCTGAGAGCTGCGTGGTGAGTAATTGGGCGCCTTGACGAGGACCCACTTTCCGAGGTGAGAGCGGCGAGGTTGCGTACGAGGCCGCATGCGGTAAGTGGCTGCCTGTGTAGGTAAAAACGCACAGGGTGTGACTTCTACTTCCTATATCCCTGATGGATTGCTACTGCTTGTCTTCTACTCTTCGTAACTTCCTCTACACTTTACACTCGACTGTTTCTTACACATCATCAGTTCCGCCATGGAAACTCTGATGGGTCGACGCGATCCAAATGCAGGAAGCCTTATGGGCGACGGGGGGTATGGCAAGTCACTTCTACTGGAGGCGCTTCTCGGCTCGAACAACCCCAACGGAAATTTTGGCCTCCAACAGCACACGGCCATATCAAGTCTCCTGTTAGCACATGACAGAGCCAAGCAATCAACCACCGCAAAGTCCAACAAGAAAGACAGGGTTAGGGCAATCCCAGAAACGTACTCATTACCAGCGGACGCAAGCGCACATTCTTTCATCTCGCTCCCCTCAGAGATCCGAAATCAGATATACGAGCTACTGTACGTCTTTGATGAACGACTTTGTGTATGGGACACGGGCGCACCTTGGGGAGGAGTCACATCAGAAGTGGCACTGAATTTTGGGCTACTTTTCAGCTGTCGTCAAGTCTACTGGGAAGCTGCCAGCGTTCTATATCAACGGAACCACTTCTTCGTGTCATCCTGGTACGAACAGGCTTATTTCAAGAGATGGTCCAAACAACTAGGTCCTCGGGCGCAATTCCTGAAACATGTCACCATCGATTACGCCGCTTTGTCTTCCGAGCTGGAGGAAGATCACGGCCCCACTTGGGTAGTCGCTCTCGACTTGCTGCCGTTGTTACGATTGCTTTGGACCGAGTCTGGAGCAATGCTACAAGTCTCGATCGAGACTTCAAGTTATAACAATACGCCCGCCATATTCAACAACGCTTTCAGATCCATCGCTCAGGAAGACCAGCTAAACCTCAGACGGTATTCAAATCTACTTGCATCGGTGATCTTGAGGGTTGAAGGGACCATGGGCACAGTTGCCTTCGCAAGCACCACCCCCGAAGAGAACGTGCAATCTACTTTCTCATGCTCAGATGAAGGGAAGGTAGTCACTATGAGCCAAATTCCGCGGACACCAGAGCTCTCAGCTTTACCTGCATCCGTTTATCATGCTATCATTGCATATGCAGTCCAGCCTACCGTAAAGCTCTTCGCTAGTCCACTCTCTACGATACTGCCGCCGTGGAAGTCCCCTGTGTTCCGTGTCAATCGCAAGCTACGGTCAGACGCCCTATACCACGCGTATGCAACCACTTCGATCGTCTTCATGCTCGCTTCAGAAGGTCTCCGACCCAATTTCGGCGGATTCTCACATATAGAGAGATTGCGTATGGTAAGAGCCGACTCAAGAAATGAAGCTCAACTCTGGCCACACGGTTTCGCCAGCGACATCGACCTCTTGGCTAGAAACTTCCAGCTTTTGCTTGGAATTAGTGTTCGGCCGGAGGATCAGAATCTAGATGATGTTCGCATCAACATAGTCGAGCTGCTTCGGGCCACATATCAATCGCGCCCTTCCATGGTCATAACTGTTCGGTTGCGCTCATCACGCGACGGTGTCAGCAGCAACACCCAGTTCTCATTCACACTCAAACAGCTGAGACTGAATGTATTCATCGTTCTGTCTCAAGTCTTCGAGGACAAGGACTACAGAAAGCATGGGCGCTGTCCGGCTGTCTACATCAACGGCAAGGGTCATCCAGTGGAGCTCGTCTACCACGCGGATGATGTCATCAGGATGTTACCAGACCAGTCTGAGGTGTTCAAAAATCAAGAATCGATATCGAAGAAAGCGATGAGATACAAACAAAGCTTGCGATACCAGGAAGAGTTTCTTCACCCAGAAGGCTGTATATCGCTTGGCAAAATGTGGGACAGCTTGACACTCATGATCTGGCCTCGTAGGCCCAGCTACGCCGAATGGTGAACGAATGCCAATCTCTTCCAACTTAGGGTAGGCGATGGATTGTTTTAAAAGAGATGGTAGCAGTAATCTATCATATCCAGAAATCGAAGGTATCGAACGCGTGACATCATCACCTCGCTTAGCGCCCCGCGTGTTTTCACTCATCTCACCAGATCGTACCAAATTCCATCTTCAAATCACTAATTCCGTGCGAAACTATTCCATCTTGCGCCGCGCATCTCCGTGCCAATGCCCCGGGAAATGGATGAGTGGGGTTGCCGTTGAGGTTTTAATACCTTTCAGGCAGGTGCTGTCGATCTCCGCCCAATTGGATCAAGACCCACGATGATGCGATGCCCAGCATCAACTATGTGATAAGATGCCGTCACTGACGATGTACGGTATATGTAGTAGGCTTTCGCATTGAGTGCTATTCATTCCGTCGGGTATCAACGTATTCATCATGCGGCTTACCACTTTCTTCTATACCGCTGCTCTTGCGGTTACGGCCATCGCGACTCCCATCTACGGAACGAATGGCACCACCACAACCTATGTCGGTCCAGAAAACGGCCACCTCGTAATCGTTGGAGGGAATTTGCAGAGCGAGAGCATTTACCAGCGCATCATTGCCCTTGCTGGCGGCCCCGACGCATCGATTGTTGTGGTTCCCACGGCAGGCGGCGAGGATACATACGACCAGAACTTTACGACCGCAGTAGCGTTCCGCAAATATGGTGCCACCAACGTGACGGTATTGCATACATATGATCCCGCGGTTGCCAATACCGACGAGTTCATTGCGCCGTTGTTGAGTGCGAAGGGCGTCTTCTTCGGTGGAGGTAGACAATGGAGGCTCGTGGATGCCTACGCTGGCACCAAAACCGAAGCAGCGTTCCAGGACGTCCTCGATGCTGGGGGTGTTATCTCAGGGTCTAGTGCTGGCGCGAGTATCATTGGCAGTTTCCTTGCTCGTGGTGATACCGCAAACAACACTGTCATGATAGGTGAGCCTCTCGGATACATGTCATAGAAGAAAAAAGCTAACGAGGTCTGCAGGCGATCATACCGTCGGCTTTGGATATCTCAAGAACTCGGCCATCGATCAGCACGTTCTAGTACGCAACAGACACTTCGATATGTTTGAGATCCTGAACGCCTACCCGGAGCTGCTAGGATTGGCAATCGACGAAGATACTGCGCTGGTGGTCAACAAGAACGAGATGGAAGTCATCGGCAGCACGTACGCACTGGTATACGATGGTAGTTTCTGGTCGAGAGAAGGAAGCTGGGAGAGGCCTCTGCCGCCGTCCAACGCGAGGTTTTACTTCCTGCGGGAGGGCGACAAGTACGATCTTGCAGCTAGAGCAGTCATCGAGCCGGAAAGCGCTGGCAGCGGCAACGATATGTAACGAAAAGTCTTTTACGGACTGGAAGAGAAGTCATTCACAATGAGTGCTGAGCATTGAACACTGAATACTGGCCAAAGTCTATGAAATGAACTTATCAGCGTCCTACATAGCAGTTGATAAGCTCGGACTGGAGACGTTTCAACCTGCTGGCCCTTCTCAGCAAGTTAGGCGTTCGCGGACGCGCAAGCGCCATGGGTTTGCGTTTAAACTCCCGAGCAGGGACCGCGAGCTGGGTTGATACTGACAGGAGTGTGGGGGCAGGGTAGTGGTATATTCGAAACGTGCCTCGGCATCTTTCGGCTCCTTTGGGGAAAAGCGGAGAAAGTAAGCTGACGGCGACGAGCTCAACGACGCGACCTCTGGCTTGGCTGCATTATCAGAATATCCCGTATCTCTCAATATTCCTGCATATTATAGCTCTTTCACGCGCTGAAACATTTGCATTTCTCCAAGCCAACAATTGCGCGTCGAACATTACGTCATCATGTCCAGAGGCTACGAAATCATCGCCATCCTCAAGCCCAAGCCTGGCAACCAAGACAGGGTACGCGTGCAATTGGTACCCCGACAAGTATAAACAACTAATGCCCTCCCTAGGTAGAGGAACTGCTCAACATCGCAGCCCAAGAAGTAAAAGCCACCGAACCCGGCACCACCCGGTATCACCTACAGCGCGAAACCAAGGGCGACGCGCCGAGCTTTGTCATCTTCGAAACGTAAGTCACGCTGCAAAGCTTTGGGGAGATTCAAAACTGATAGTCATCAGATATGCGGACAAAGATGCTCTGATGTTCCACGCCAAGAGCGCGGGATTGAAGAAGCTACAAGCGGCGGTCAACGGAGAGGATCTACTTAGGGAGCCGATGTCGGTTATGATTGTTAAGGATGTAGGCGGTTTTAAGAGCAAGTTGTAGGTGATGGGAAGAACATAAATTAGACGATAATGAAGGAAGAGTTTACATCACCAAGCCTATGCAACGAGAGTGTGGTCTGAGTGGATTCATGTTGTATCGGTCGAGCTTTACTAATGACTAGCTAGGTAACGACCTACCTCGAAACTATTGCTAACATCCATGGGAACTGTGCGCGCGTCATCTGCTTCAGGTACTACAAGCCGGATATGGACGCCAACTTCGACATGATAGATCTCTGAACGAGAAGACAAAGCCCACGTTGCCTGGCGCCGAGCTCACACCAATACTAGAAGTCGTAAGGCGAGATGCGGGGCACCTCCTCTGTCATTCCCGACTTCCAAGCCATGAAGTACTCCTCGAACTTGTCCTTGGTGATTTGCTTCATGATCCACGCCTTGTCGCGCTTCAGCTCAGGCTCCTTATCTGAATGCACACTCTCCCCCTCCGACTCGAAGACATCCATGAGGCGATGCTGATGATAGTCGGCGAGAGCGAAGACATGTATCGGAAGGAGACGCCTCTTGTCTTTGCGCATGACGACAACCGAACCAACGTCATTCTGCCATTCTGGTGGCGCGAAGCCCCAATTGAAACCGGTGTCCGCACGCTCGGGCTTACAGCCAATGTTAAGGAATGTACCAGCAACATTGACCCAAGACGTGTTGCCCGACGGAGTCTCTGGTCGCTGTTTCCATTTGACGACACTTCCAGGAATGCGCTGAACAGTAAAGGGTAGTTCAATGTGCTTTGAGACATCGGTGGCTGCGTGGAAGAACGAACGGTAGGCCGAAAGTTCCACAGGCTCATAGCGAGGGCGGCCTTCAACTTCGACATCACCATCGCAGTTGATGCGTACGCCGACTACGCTACTCAACTCTTGTTTAATATCCTCAATCGTCGGGCCAACAGCGTACTTGAAGTAGTATGTGTTGAGCTTGTGTGCGATGATACGAAGGTCGGAAGGACCGAGATCTTGGCTGTAAGACGGATCTTGACTGAAAGGGACGTCGTCGAAGGCATCAGTCCCATACGCAATCATCGGACCTCGCCAGGCGTGTAGGTGAGGAGAGTTGGGGTCGATGATCTTGTCGATGGCCATGTTGTGTGTCGATCCATCGTGGAGAAAGTTCTCGCGGTAGGACAGGAATAAGTTGTACGGGAGACGACGGGCGAGCGCGTGATTATGCCGGATCTTCATATCTGTCATACCAATCTCTTCTCCAGACTCTGCTTCTTTCTCATTGATGGCGGCTAGCGCACCGGGGCAAGCTGCGAGGCAAGGGTGTCCGTACTCTCCATCTTTGGTCATAGTCTTGAGCCACACGAATCGTGGCGCGGCTTCGTCAGGATGGAAGTAGATAGCGCGGGTGTATTTCTCGTCAGGTCCTTCGGCTTCGGGGCGGTCTTGGAAATCCTTGGTAGATTTGCAAAGGATCTTGTGAAGAGGCCACGCCTTCTTCTGGCACTCTTTGGAGCAGTACCAGCTTGAGCCGCAACCACTGCAACGCAGTGTGCTCTCGTTGTCGCACTCGTCGCAAAACGTCATCGCTGTCTTGATCGGCCGTTCAGTATCGGGGCTGGGAAAACGTGTGGGAAGGAGCCAATGACAAAAGGTGGAAAGAGCCAGTCGGTGTAGCAAACAAACATTATGGTCCGAGCGCAAGTTCGACGGTGAAGGTGAGATGAAGATGGAAGTAGATTCACATGTTGCAAGTGATCAGGAAGAATTGCAGTCACTTGGTAGATTGCTATGTACATTTCATATGTATAGGTATACGAAAGTCCATTTACATGGTGCTCTGGAACTCCGCAGGCTCAGCGCCATAATCGCTGCCGTAACCTCCGTACCAGTAGTCACCAACGTACTCGACGCCCTGAGCAGTCTGGTTGGGACGCTGAGGCCACATGTCTAGCATCGCATGCTCTCCAGTCAAGGTAAAGTTGACGCTCGCAAGCGGGTGGTTGTCGATCATCATGGTGTAATCACCGGGGTACAAGACCTTGTTGCCCATCTCGTCAACTCTGGCAAGAGACGCAAGAGTGAGGTTGAGAGTCGCAGTGGCGGAAGAGCCTCCAGCGATGTTGTGGAGACGCTTGTAAGAGACAAGCGACTTCTTGGGGTGGGGCGCAGGACCAAACTCTCCAGCAATGTAGCCAAGAGTAACATAGTCAGAGCTAACGTCGCCATCGTTGGAGACCTCGACATCGACAGATACGAAGGGGCAACGCTCGAGGAAACCTCCAGTGCTGTTGCAGTTCTGAGTGAGGGCAGAGATGGCGTAGCTCTGTTGAAGCTCGCTAGTGACCTCAGCGGAGAAGTTGGTGTAGTGCAGACCGTGGCCGAACTCGTAGACGGCGGAACCGTTGTACCACTTGTAGGTGCGACCAGGGTTGTTCTCACCAGGGCGCATGTTCATGTCCATCATGGAGACCTGGGCAATGTAGTTGGAGGGGTACTGAGTCGTAGGGAGACGTCCAGCGGGAGCAGTCTTTCCAGTAACAATATCGATGATGGCAGAACCTCCGTCCTGACCAGGGTATCCGGCCCAGAGAATGGCAGAGATGTTGGGGTTGTTGACGAGAGGAGTGTTGTCAATCTGTCCACCTCCAGTGACCACAACGATGACTGGCTTTCCGGTGTCGGCGAGCAGGCTGATGACATCGAGCTGAGCTCCAGTCCAGGTGAGGTAAGTACGGTCGTCATCTTCCGCCTCAACGCTGTTGTCGATACCGCCGACATACATTAGCACGTCGCTGGTAGAGTACGCGCCATAGAGGTTGGACCAACGGTTGGTCGTTGGGTCGCCCTGGCCACCAGGGTTTCCGCCAGCATAGTTGATGGTAACGTTGAGTTGTTCGAGAGCGTACAGAGGAGAGTGAAGGTATGTAGCGACACCGGCGTAGTTACCAAGGAGCTGATCGGTTGCGTTCGCCCAGTCACCGAAAAGGCCGATAGACATAGACGAATCGACAGAGAGCGGCAGAGTACCATCGTTCTTCAGCAGAACGATACCCTCGGCAGCGGCTCTGCGTGCAAGTGCCTGCGAAGCGTTGGTAGCAACCGCGTCAAAGCCGAGCTGGCGGTATGGCTGGTTATCTGCAGAGTCGAAGTAGCCAAGACGAACGAGCGAGGAGTACTGGCGGACAAGGGCCTGGTCAAGAACAGCTTCGTCGAGAAGACCTTGCTGGACAGCAGCGGGGAGGTGCTCCTGCATGTAAGTACCGCACGTAAGATCGGTACCAGCCTTCAGGGAGTCGTAAGCAGCGCCACCACGAGATGATGACCACTGATGCGGGAGGTAGACGTTCTGAACAGCATCGCAGTCGGATGTGACCCATTGCTCTTCATTCGTCCAGCCCCAGTGCTCACGCAGAATGGTCTGCAGCAAGTAAGGGTCGGCACATGGTGGGGCACCATTGACTGCATTGTAGCTGCACATGAAAGCACCGACGTTCGCCTGGACACATGCCTGGAATGGAACGAGATAGTACTCAACCATATCCTGCTGAGAGATCTCAACGTCGTTCTGGTAGCGAAGGTTTCCGTTCCAGTCCTCAACGTCATAACCTGCGAAGTGCTTGCAAGTTGCGACAACACGCTTGTACGGGTCAGACGCGTCACCCTGAAGACCGTGGATCAAGGCCTGGACGTAAGAAGACAGATGGTAGGAGTCTTCACCGGGTGTCTCCTGTCCACGTCCCCAGCGAGGGTCACGGAACGGGTTGATGTTGGGTGTCCAGAAGTCAAGACCAGTCCTGTTCGCGTTGTTGAAAGCACGCGCTTCGGTGGAGATGACCTTTGCAACCTCGGTGATGAGTTCATCGTCGAAAGCCGCACCCATCAAGATGGGCTGGGGGAACGAGGTGGAGTAGCTAAACTCTCCCTCATCGCTGAAGTTGGTGTAAGGGCCAGCAATGCCGTGAAGACCCTCGTTCCACCACTGGTAAGGTGGTATGCCAAGACGAGCAACGCCTGGGGAGCCACTGCTCGTAGCGTTGATCTTCTCCTCGAGAGTGTAGAGAGACACGAGGTTTCTCGCACGAGCTAGCGGAGCTGCAAAGCATTAGTATGGCCAAAATGTTGTGTGAGTGGAGATGAACGTACACGCCGAAGGATCGCAGATGGTCTCATTGCTCAAACGTCCACTGCTGCAGTCCGGGAATACGTATTGAGCATACGCTCCTGTCGCAGCGAAGGCCAACACTTGCAGCGCACGCGTCGAGGTAAACATGACGCCGGTTGTCTGATTTGGTTCGGATGGTCCGGATGCAGCTCGTCGTCGTCCTCACTCCATATCTTATAGCACAGTAAATAGCCGTAGTCACCGACCCTGCGTCAGCACGCGGTTGGTAAACACCACAGCCCACGATTCCTGTACGTCATGGTCTCGTCGGCCACGCGGTTGAGCAGCGGTCGCAAGTCCACTTATTTCCGAGCGCCGAGCCAGTCTTGTGTCCGAAGCCACTCCCGATGCTTGGCCCAGAGGCATACGGCAGCCAAGAGTGTACCCGAGCCGCATGCGGAGCCCCATGGTACTTGCAAAATCTGTGAGGGGTTCGCGCTATGTGGATCTCCCCGCCCTCCGATTGGCTGCGCCTGGCTATGCATTCAGGCTGAATGTAAATCTACGACTGTAAGCATCACACCCGAGAAGCGGTAAGTTTAAGGCACGGCAACTACACGTCCAAAACGTCGGTGAAATACTGGAATTGCAGGATGGTCTCGCATAAGCATCAGCCGAGCATCCGCAAGGGATGCGCCAATGTGGGCTGACGGAAGACGGGATGGAACCTTGATGGTATTTGCTTATGCCTCAACAGCCATGCTTCCAACCTTGGAAGTTACCTACCCCAGGTTCCGTCAGTGTCGCGCGGCAGTTTGTCAACGTGCATCAGACAATAAGACTTGACCGTATGACAACCATGGCACATTTCCTAATTTCCCATGACACGTCGACCCCAATCCACCATCCGCCCCTCCCGAGTCAATACATACACACATGCGTTGCGGAGCAGGAGCCCTGGGATGGTCCATACTAGCGACCGCCACTGATGTCGTCTATTGACCCGAATTGGCAGCCGTTGCCGCGCTTACTGTGGCCAGTTAGACTTCTTAACGGTCATCGGCATGCCGTCTCGTGGTTTGGCCTCGAAGACAAATTCCTGGTAGGCGCGATCACCGAATGTCAGATCCAGATTATTCCACTCTGCTCGAGGCGTCTTGTTGGGTTTCAGATCCGCACAAGTAAAGTCGAAATCGCGTATTGTCAGCAGGAATACGATCACGAACTCGTCCATAGCCAGCGGTTGGCCCAGACACGCACGCGGTCCTCTCTCGAACGGACGCCAGGCGTGCCGCGGATGGTCTTCTCGTGTAAACCGATCTGGGTCGAACTTGAGCGGGTCTGGACGAAGCATTAGCCACCGGATGTGTGTTACAAAGAAGGATCGATAGATGTCACTTGCCTGGGAATATCGCTGGATCCATATGCATAGCCAGTTGGACGGGGCAGATCATGCGATCTTTGGTCGGCCATTCGCGGCCCTGGTACGTGAGAGTATCGATGCCCTTGCGTGCGGTATTTCCTATCGGATAGAACCTCAGGACTTCCTTGATGACGTTGTTCGTATAGGTGAGCTCATTCAGCTTATACGGCTCCCTTTTAAGCATCTCGTACGTCGCTTCGATACCAGGGGTGAAAACACGGTCGTGCTCTTCGCGCATCCTTTGTACCACTTCAGGGTGAACGCTAAGCAGCATAGCTCCGAAACAGATGGTATCCGACGTAGTTCCAAGTCCAGCGATCAAAAGAGTCTTTACTTGTGTGAGAGCATCTTTGGTGAATTGGGGGTCGAGCTCCATTACGTCACCCTGTCGCTCTGCGATATAGTCTCGCAAGATGAGGTCCATGATCCCTAGTCCTCGCTTCTCCGAGAGATCGAGCTTGTCGCCTGCAGCTATGTGTTAGCCGCACGAAGTTCAAGTATGCAGGGACTTCATTGGGCTTCTTACGTTTGACTATCTCGAATCTCTCGTTGATGAGCCCTTCCACAATAGCATCAAACTTTGCGCGTTCGGCGAAAACCATCCGGTTGACGAAGAAGTTGCGGATATAGTTATGAGACTCTCGCGTGATCATAAAAGCACGGCACATCTTTTCAAAGTGCTGCAGAGCAGGGCTACCTTTGGTCTGCGCGTCAAGAGATCGGCCAAAGGTCATAGTCGATATGACATCAAACGTCATGCACAGAGTATGGTCCTCCAACCTGAAAACCTCACCCGATTCAGCTTTCTCGGAAAGTTTCGACCGAAACTTCATAACCTCGTCAGCAACCATCGGCCTCATGTTGGTGATGTGCGAAGTGGCGAAAGCAGGACTCAACATCTTGTGGAGATACTTCCATTGTGGTCCGTTCGTTGTGACGATGTTGCCGCTTCCAATCAAGGGGTCGACCATTGTTGCCTCCATTTCATGTTTGGGGTGATTCCGGATGACTGTCATGTCAAGTGCAACATCCGGATCTGTCACCACAACTTGCTGAAATGAGGCAGGCCACAAATCGAGGTAGAAGACACCTGGCATATTGTACTTTCTGGCGATCGTAACCACCGCTGCCTGATAATGTACATCGCTGGGTAACGATTTGAAGGTCTCGCCGAGCAGCTTCAAATGGCCGAAGAAGAAGCTATGAGGCGGTTTGGGCTGATCTGCTGTCAGTACTGTCTTGTTTGTAGCCCGTGCCGGATACTGCCAACTTACGACATCTTTGTAGAAACGCCGAACTTGGATCAGTCTCATTACGCCATATGCGAGCGCCGCAATGATGCCAGAGAAGAGTATCGTCACCCATGGTAGGTCACGAAGAGCCATTGTGAAGAGCTAAAGTGTAAGGTCTGCTATGTATGGAGGTTTGAAGTACCCAGGTATATGAGGTTGTGCTGATCCAGGCCCCCCGATCGTGGCATCTTGGCACTTAAGCGGAGTACATCAGCACTAGGCGATCCTGTGGCGCTTGGTGGTGGGATATCTTTAGCGAGTGTTGGAAAGGCGCATGTTTGTAAATTGCGGCCGTGGAAGCATCGATCCCGTATCGTCAGAGGCTTGCGATGTTGGAGATGGACTTCAAGGTGTGACAAGATGGCGTTGCTTGCTTGAGCCATGGCCACTGCCGTCACCACGTATTCTCTATTGAACATCTCTTTTATCTCCTCCGTTGCCATTGCCTACCACGCGCTTTAGGCTCCTAGGTTGCGGTATTTCTTGTAAGGCTGGCGGGGCGTTGTCTGTAGTGTGGGCGCTACAGCACCCTGCGACGCGAGACGTCATGATGTTGGTGTTCAGGTAGGCGCGTCTTTAGCGTGATGTCTAGGGTGAGACAGCCAACTCACAACCTTGGAACAGACTATGCGCGAGCATCGCCCAGCAAAATGGACGACTGCATTCACTTCTCTAAGCAACCTCGAAACAATTCACGTCTGGCTTGTTGCTTTATCGACATCTAGCAAGACAACGTTGACGCATTCCACATTCGTGCGTCCAACCTGCGGACAGCAATCGCGCCACGAAAAAACGCGTAGCGAACCCACCGACGCGTTTACTGATCATCAGGCCTCCAACATTCGGTTACTAAATCTGGTTCGTGTCTCAAACTCCATCTACGGTATCTCATCATACGGTATCTTTTCCTGGGCTGCAACTCGCATCTCGTCGTCCAGCAGTGACATGAGCACCTGGTCTGTGCCCTTCTTCAGCCAGCTAGCATCGTGTGCGAGCGCTGTATGAGCACCAAACTTGGTTTCCAGCAGTCCTATCTTAGCGATGGTTTCTTTCGCCGAAGACAGGTCTGTATGCAGTGACATGCTCACTGCCCCTGGGCCTTGGAACTCCGCAATTGTTCGCGTGCCGTCCAGCAAATCCCTGACCGGTCAGTAAACGCCCGATCGCATACACCATGCACGTCAGCAAACGCCTGGTGCAATCAATTTAACGTACCGCGAATGACAGCCTAGCAAAAGATTAGCGAGCGCCAATGGAAATTTCATGGGACAACATACAATCGCTGCCAAGTATTACCCACTCGCCATCTTGCAGCCTTGCAGCAGCAGCCAAGTTACCAGGCATATGGCCGGGTGCATCGAGGATCCAGAAACTGCCGTCTCCGAAGTAGTCCAGTGCTCTTTCGAACGGGCCAAAGGGCTTCCACACGCCATGTAACTCATCCCACTTTTCTGTCGAGTTCTCCGGATCAAAGAAGCGGCCGTCCCACTGTAGGCTTGGATCTCTCATATGCCCTGGCTGACATGCTACTCTCGTACCGGGACCAAAGTACGCCATCGCATTTGGAAATAAATCGCTGATAGGCCTCGAATGATCCCAATGAGCGTGACTGCAGGCTGCTCAGCGAACTTCATTCACGCCACCGTTGTATCCATACCTGAACAAGACAGTATCGACATCTTCCGCAGCCACGCCTCTTTGCGCCAACTGCTGAACGATAGTTCTCCGTGGTCCGACGTGATTGACGATATCCAACATGAACTTGTTAACCCAAGGGGTATAACAACTTCGGTCCTTCAAGAAACTAGTCAGAAGAAGATTGAGATAGCCAAACCCGACATTGGCCTACGCACCTCATCCAGCCCAAGATCCCAAAGTATGTGTCTTCCCTGGTGCGCGATGTAAAACGCCCAGTTGTACATGCGAAATGTGCCACTCTCACCAGCATGCAAGCGGCTCAGATCTCCTAGAAAGCTGCCGCCATCGAGGAGAGCAAGCTTGACAAAGGCGTCAGTATGAGAGAGGCCGACCTCCATTGTTGGTGTCATTTGTGCAAGAAAATGACTGCGTGTAACATGTACATCTACCTAGGTAGCTCTCTATCTAGCCGAACACATGCTTGCTAATTGCCGAGCTCAGACATCGAGCGAATTACGATATCCTCATCGATGCGAGGCGCAGTCGCTGTAGTACCCCCACATCCCGCACGCGGTGTTTGGTCGCGGGTGATTGCCCCACTACTGAAATGGCAGGTACAGGTGCGGGGTAATTATCGGACCATCATTGCCCCCAACGTACCTGCTTCCAGAGAAGCAGCTCCAGGGATGCGCAACTCCCTCCAGCCAATCCAAGCAGACACTAGGCAATAGTAAACAATCCGTTAGTCTATGGAACGATCCTTTGCTTCCTACCATCCCATCCCACGCAGCAGCCAACATGTCGGAAACCCTCAAGCACCAACACCTAGGTGAAATAGAAGGAAAGCCAGTAGATGGTGCAGTTCAATTTCTTGGCCTGAAGTATGCTTCGTTGAAAGATCGCTTGGCTGCACCCCAGCTCGTTGACAGCTATGGATCTGGAACTACGGATGCCACCAAATTTGGGTATGTCAACTGGTGACGCCGGTTACCATTTACTAATAGAATAGTCCTCCTCCAGTATCTCCAGTCGGTGCCATTGAACGCGAGTTCGGCTTCATTCAACATTCCTTGCCACTTCCAGAGGTTCCGACGCATTCCGACCTCGAATGTCTGAACCTCAACATTACTGTGCCGACCAACAAGGATGGGGCTATTGATTCCAACGCGAAGTTGCCGGTCTTTGTCTTCATACATGGAGGCGGCTTTGCTGTTGGGAGTAGCTGGTACCCGCACTATGATCCAGCTCCCATTGTGAAGATGTCTGTCGAGAGGAAAAAGCCCATCATCGGCATTACCATCAAGTGGGTCTTAAAACCCGAAGCGTACCTCGTCTACTAACAGCTACAGCTATCGACTGGGTTTCACAGGGTTTGCGACTTCCGAAGAATTGCGCAAAGCAGGATACAAAGCGAACAACGGCTTTCACGACCAGCGCACGGCTTTACAGTGGATCAGGGAGTTCATAGGCGGGTTCGGGGGTGACGCAGATGAGATCACAGTATGCGGAGAGAGCGCCGGTGGACGTATGTTGTGGACACTGTTGATATAGAGCTCGACTAACGTGCGCAGTGTCTGCGACAGTATTGCTCTGCTCGGAGGAGCCGCTGATGAAGCGCTGTCTTAGTACTGGAGGAGCTGTGCTACTGTTCAAGCCCATCCCAGATTTCGTGGCAGAGTCCTCGTATCAAAAAGCCATCGAAGCATTTGGCCTGACAGACAAGTCGCGTGAGGATCGTATCAAGGCCCTCCTCAGTATACCCTTGGATGATCTATGGCAGAAGGTGCCACCCACAGCACCGATGCTGCCTTCAGTTGACAAAGATACCATGCCGGGCTCACCAGATTTCCTTACCGTCTCATCCCAAGAAGACAGCCCAGCTTTCATGATGCCGGGCAGGAAGTGGTGCAAGGCCTTTATGATCGGAGAGTCAAAGCTGGACGTAAGTTCCATATCGTGAATCTCGAAATATGTGAGCTCATGTTTTTTAGGCAAACATCATTGCATACCTGGGCCTCGATGCTCGCAAGCCGGGCGTCGCGCAAAAGTTCATCGACTCCTGCAACGCCACACTGTCCGCCAAGCCAGAGGTTGCGGAACAGCTTCTCGCATCCTACAAGATAACCCCCGAGGCTCCGGACGAAGAGGCTATGCTTTCAATATTGCGCTTTGGTTCCGAGATATCTTTCTACGCGCCCGCTCGTGCCTTCGCCCAAGGCTGGCCCAACACACCCGACTCGAAGTTCTTTCTCTACCACTTTAACGAAGGAATACCTTGGGAAGGTCGCTTCAAGGGCGAAGCAGGCCACATTCTCGATATATCGTACCTCTTCCAGAACTACAACGAACACCTAGACGATGCGCAGCAGAAGGTAGCACGAGAGTACGGAGAAGACTTCATCAAATTCGTCAACGGGGAGGATCCTTGGCCGCCAGTCAAGACCGACAAGTTGTGCGCCAAGGTCTACGGGCCTAGTGCCGATGGTGTCACCAGCAGATGGGTTCCAGATGGTGATCCAGCAAAGATTGGAAGAGACGAGAGGGTGCTTAAGTTGGGAGAGACGGCAGGCTTTGATGCTATTATGGAGGTCTTCCAGAACTTCTTCCAAGGAAAATAGATGGTATGAAGACTACATGAGTGCATCCGGACGGGTTCGCAACGCCACTATGTACATTAAATATGACAGAAGCCTTACTCTGCAAAATCCCAAGTTCCATCCTCGTTCTTTCTCCCTTTGTCTTCGTATCCCTTCGGCAGAAGACCTCCAACATGCAAGTATATACTGCTACCATCTCTATCCACACACCTCTCATCTCTCGCCGCCTCTTCCCAAACCTCCAACGCCCTCTCCGCCATGCTAGGCCTCACCCCAACCTGACCCGCACTCTCAATACCCAGTCCCAGATCCTTGAGCATCATCTGCGTCTTGAACCCCGGCTTATAACCACTGTTACTCGGCACCCAATACTCTTTCTGCACATTGGGAATGGGCATGACATGATCGCACATCCAAGACTGACCAGTGCTGTTCTTGATCACGGAGTACAAAGCGGAGGGGTCGAGGCCGTGAGATACGCCTATTGCGAGGGCTTCGGCGGTAGCGAGGAGAATGGTGCCGGAGAGGTAGTTGTTGCATATCTTAGCGGTGAGCCCGGCGCCGAGGGTGTTTAGGTAGAAGGCTTTGGATGGTGGGCCAAGCATTGTGAGGGTCGCCGAGATTCGGGATTCTGGAGAAGCTGAAGATGTTGGTGTTTGCGCTGGCGGTGGGTGGCCGATCAACATCGATAGTGTGCCTGCTTCTGCTGCTGGAACGCCGCCGGATACGGGGGCGTCGATGTATGTACCCATCTCCGCTTCCTTCAGCTTTTGGCCTACTTCTTTTGTGGTGTTGACGTCGATTGTGCTGCATTCTAGCATTACCCTGCTTTGGTCCTTCTTCGCTGCAACCACTCCGTCTTTCTCGTCTAGATATACTTTCCTTACATCTTCCCCTCCTGGTACGATAGATATGAGGACTTTCGCATTTTCCGCTGCTTCGCGTGCTGTAGCGACAATTTCTACAGGGCCGTGCGACGAGTATTGGGTTTTGAAGCGGGAGCATGCCGAGGCGTTGATGTCGTTGATGTAGAGGGTTGAAGATGGGTCTATCTTCTTGCGGATGTTGGCTGCCATCGCGTAACCCATTGCTCCGAGACCTTGCCATTGTTAGTAATGTCTACTAAGGTACTGGGTAAGAATGCTCACCGATGAATGCGTAGCTGTCTGCCGACGTCATGTTTCCAAATGATACCCTATCTTGTGACAGTAGTAGATACAACTTTCTGATACTGTTTCCCCTTCAGGATGCCTCATTTTACAACACTCATCATGTTCCTCTCCATGTACTCGCTGGATCGGCTAGCGTCATTCGCTCCTTGGTGTTTACCAATGCCCCACATCATCCCCTCACTTCCCCAATTGCCTTTCCCCAATACAACAACCTCGGCGTACTACTCCGAAACAGTTGCCATTGAACACGCATAACCTTGCATTTGACGACATAGCATGGTAGTCATGTGAACGCGACGCGACATGTACCCACCCACTTCACACTCAAGTGCCAAAATTTGAGCGCAATCACAAATACCTTCATCATTGTAATATTTCACCATGTCATCAAAGCCCCTCCGGATAGGTGTTATCGGCCCTGCAGGCTTCGGAGGATCCTATCTCACCGTCGAGCTGCTAAATCGAGGCCATTCCGTGATTGGCATATCACGCAACCCCGAGAAAGTAGGAAAGCATCCGCGCTACATTCCCAGACCAGTAGATGTCGACCAAGTCTCGATAGAGGACCTATCAGAAGTTTTTGAAGGCCTCGATGTCTTGGTCAGCGAGTTCGGACCGCATACAGCTGGTCCAGGGGCTTTGCTGTACAGTATGTCCCGCCCGGTTCGGGATACCGGTACCCAATGACTGATCCAAAACAGTGCCGTTCCTAGAATCCGTTCGCAAGATCCTGCTAGCCTACAAGCTACGGCCCGCATCGTACTTCGTCTTCGTCGGCGGCGCAGGCTCCCTCCACGTCCCTGGCACTAACATCTCCTGCGTCGACCACCCAGACTTCTTCCTCGCCTACCGCCGCGCCATCTCCACATCACTAGCGCACATTGCATACATGGAAGAGCGCCTCGGTATCATGGGCACCTCACTGCGACGATACCGCGAAGCCAGGTTAGCAGAGAGCTCGGGAACGACCACAGAAGAAGACAAAACTGTGATAGCAGACTACGAGAAACAAATCCGCGCCAAAGACAACGCGTCCGACTTCATCAAGGCAGGGCGAACGGCGTACATGTTTTTCGAAGACCGGAAGAACTTTGATTGGAGTTTTGTCTCGCCGTCTGCTTTGTATCGTCCCGGGAAGAGGACTGGCGAGTATGAGATCAGCGTTGATGATATGGTGTTGCTGGGGGAGCAGCAGGAGGGCAAAGATGTGTTTGAGGGGAGGTTGACCGGGATCAGTGTTGCGGATATGGCGATTGCGATTGCGGATGAGATTGAGCAGAAGAAATTGGTCTGGAAACATTGGAGTGCCTGGGGAGATATTAGTGAGGATATGCCGGCGCCGGCGTATGTGTTTTTGGATGCTGTGGAGGGTGGTAGTAGATAGGCTCAGGTTAGCAGAAACTTTGAATGAATGGGTAGAAATCTTTTGCTTGCTCGCTCAGTGTTGGTGATTCTTCTTTGGTATCTTGTTCTTAATCATCTCCCCTACACGCTCATCTCCTTCAGATTCTCACTGACTTTAAATGGCGCCTCTGTCTTGCTTCTGATCTCATCCACGGTGACGCCCTTCGCATGCTCCTTCAGGGTCAAACCTTCGACGCGATCGCAGTCGAATACTGCCAGGTCCGTGATGATAGTGCTCACGCACTTTTGTCCTGTGAGAGGGAATGTGCATTGGTTCAGGATCTTCGGGTTGCCCTTCTTGTCGACGTGTTCCATGGTGATGACGACTTTGGTTTGTGTGGGGTTCGCGACTAGGTCCATTGCGCCGCCGATGCCTTTGACCTTTCCGGGAAGCATGAAGTTTGCGAGGTCTAGGAATAGTTAGTGGGACGAAGGGTAAGCATAATCACAGTATAGCACGAACCTCCGTATTGGTTTACTTGCATGGCGCCCAGCATGGCGACGTCTATCCGACCTGATCGGATCATGCCGAAAGACTCGTGGCTGCCAAAAGTTGATGCACCCTTGATCAGAGTCACGGTCTCTTTTCCGGCGTTGATAAGGTCGGGGTCCTGAGCGCGTTAGCCACACTGTAACGCTACTCCGTTATCGCATTCTTACCTCCTCGCCAGGCTTGGGATACCTTCCCATACCCAAGATTCCGTTCTCAGACTCCAAAACGATCTCAGTACCCTCGGGCAGGAAGGCAGGTGCTGCCAGCGGCATGCCGATACCGAGGTTGACATACATGCCATCCTTTAACTCTTGTGCTGCGCGCTTGATAATGCGCTCGCGCTTCTGCGACGACTCTGTCGAGCCTAGTACTTTATTAGCCACGCTCTATCATGTCATCATCCGCAATGACTTACCACCCTCCAGCAGTGCCTTCTTCTGCTCCTCGGGGCTCTTCCAGAAGACCTTCCGCTCTATCTCCTTGCCCACTGTGCTCTTGATCACCCTCTTCACGTATATGCCCTGGAGATGAACGTCTTCTGGTGCGATCTCTCCATCCTCAACGATCTCATCGGCCTCGACAATCGTCATCTTCGCGTTCTTGCCCATTGCTTCGTTGAAGTTGTTTTGTGCTTTGCGGAACTGGCAATTGCCGAGACGATCGGCTTTGGCGACTTTGACGAAGGCGTAGTCACCGAAGATGGCTTCTTCCATGACGTAGGATTTGCCGTTGAACTCGCGGGTTTCTTTGGGAGGGGCCATTTTTGCGATGGTGCCGTCGGTGTTGTATCGTACAGGGAGTTCGCCGGTTTGCACTGGAGGGTGTTAGCTGTGTCTTGCCCTTTTCATCCCAAAGTGTAGATCGCATACCTATTGTTCCATATGCCGCTGGTGTGTAGAAAGCCGGTACACCCGCAGCACCAGCAGCGCACTTCTCTGCGATGGTACCCTGAGGGGTCAACTGCAGACTCAATTGACCCTTCAGGTACATTTGCTCGAACACCTTGTTGTCGCCAATGTAACTCGCAATCATCGTGCCAATCTGCTTCGTCTCCAGAAGCTGTCCAAGCCCAACGCCGGGCATACCAGCGTTATTACTGACAACTGTGAAGTTTGTAAGGTCGCTTCGGTCGCGTAGAGCGTTGATGAGGGTGTTGGGGACTCCAGAGAAGCCAAATCCACCGACCAGAACTGTGGAATCGGACTTCATGTCCTTGATAGCTTCTTGTGCGGAGGAGACGATCTTGTTGATGGCTGGTCGAGAGGCGCTGGCAGAGAAGAATCGCATGCCCGTCGCTGGGCCGCGGCGGCGCGCCGAGAAAAGGAGAGAACGTTGCATCGTGAGGTTCGTGGTCGTGGTCGTGAGTCGCGAAGTATCGAGGAATGAAAGTCAAAGCGATAGGCTTCGAAGCGTTCGACCCAGCTTGAGATGGCACAGATGTTGTTGATGGCGTTGTCCAACCCCAAGGTATAAGCTCAGCTCAATCGACACCAGATTGAAGCGTCAGACTCTCCACAAACCTCAGTGCACAAAGATCGCGTGTAGAGTTGTGGTGTACAGCGGAGATGACGCTCCCCACACGAGCACCACGAGGGCATGCATGACAGCAAATAACCGATTGGGTCAGACCGATGCAAATGCCGTGCCGATGGCGGGTAAGAGCAAAGCTCCACAATCGGAGGTGGATGAGGACTTAGCCGGCCAAGATGCGGAGGTTGCGGCCAAAACGCACGTTGATTGGGCGAAGCCACACGCGGAAAAAGGCAACGTGGAAAACATTTCCAAGGCCAAGCGACCAAAGCTGGCTCACGTGCTGACGCGCCAACGCGTATGCGAAAGGCTGATGGTCATTGACGAGCTGCAGGCACATTTGTCACGGCTGTATCGAATAGTTGGTAGATATGTATTACTATGGACGCTACTTGACAAACCCACCGAGTCGATTAGTACAGGTCGTGTACGATTTGCTTCACTGTAGCAAATGTCAGCTAAAGGATTTTCGGAGAATGGGCGCGACAACTTACAGCTAGCGAAGTCCTTGTGGTCTTTGCTGTGTAGCGCACGCGATGCGATAGCCTCTTCTTCCGCATCACCGGTCGGCACGTTGTACTAGTGGACGTTAGCTATGGCCTCCTCGACATACTTCAGCTACTTACAGCTGTCAACGTGGTCTTGTGTCCCAGCTCTTCGACCAGTCCAGCAATAGCATCGGCAACGACGTGGGAGTCCTTCTCGTCGCTGCCAGTACTTTGCTTCCCGATGTATGGGATAATCCTAGCGATTTGCTTCGCCTCCTCTGGGTTGCTCGCCTTGAAGTGAACCGTCGGTGCGAGACTGAGGCAGCTGGTGATGCCATGCGGAATGCTGTATGTTGCACCAATCGCATGGCCGATGCTGTGGCTGAGGCCGACTCCGCCCGTGTACAGGAAGGGGAAGAGTGAGGAGTAACAAGCAACGAAGAGCTTTGTTCGCACTTCGGCGTCGTTAGGGTTGGCTTTCGATTGCGGTAGGTATGTGAAGAGATCCTTGATAGCTTCCAAAGACATGCGTTTTGTGGGGATCTCGGCGGCAAGAGGGTGGTACATCAGTTCGACTGCGTGGTCCAGTGATCGAATCTGCGAGTGTATCAGAGATTAGTTCTACTTCAGCACTCGAATGGTGAAGAACATACCCCTGTGCTTGTCCAGAGATTCAAGGGTGTGTATACAGCAAGTTCGCCATCGTATACCACAGCTGAGCTTGGTTAGTGCCAATCTCTCTGACCGGTCGACTTCGCACTTACCCTTGGGTACAAGTTCTGGGTTGCTCACAGCGATCTTGTGCTTTTCTTCGGTGGTGAAGCCAGCGTTTTGCGTCGTCTCAGCTACACTCAGTGTTGTTGGTACGGCGATACTAGGAATCCACTTTCCGGTCTCCTCGTGGATATTGTATGCAATAGCTTTGGCTGAGTCAATGGGCGAGCCACCGCCTATCGATATGAGTACATCGCATCCGGATTTGGTCATCAGCGCGGTGGCTTCTTTGATATCTTGGATCGGCCTTGGAATTGTCAGCCTTGCTATTCATATTTCAACGGCTCTTCACATACGCATGCTGTCCAATCTTGCTGAATGTACCACCATGTGCGGATCCGAGTATTTTCTCGATGTTCTTGATCACAGGAGTCTTCTCGTATAGGGATCGACCGGTGATAATGAAGGCCTTTGTAGCACCGAGCTCGGCAATGACATCTGAAAGCTGGCTGCTTGTCCCTGCGTGGACATGTAAGTTTTTTCCTCGATTACTATTCGCAGTCTGCCTACCATTTCCGTATATCATGAGCTTGACAGGCGATGCTCTGTACACTCCCTTAGCGGAGGAGTCAATGCTGCCATTCTGGTATTTGTTCGGGAGCGCCATCGTGTAATGTCTTGTTGGACTCAGTTTGTGCGTGAAAACGTTCAAAGTAAATGGTCGCGTCTGCATGCAAGCTAGATTCGGCAAGCATCATTGCGTTGTTGCCCGAGTCGGCATGGAGGGGTCTCTCGCTCCTGCCCCACACATACACGTCGCCCCGCCACAGCTCTCGCCGCAACCACGATGCGGCACTTTCTCGGCCCTGTGAGATCATACAATAGGCATTCCTGGACCAATGCGACGCGTAGATTATCAGTTGTTGTGCCAAAATGGCGTCCTTTAGCAAAGCCGCGCGCAATGTGCTGCAGAAAAGCCCCAACGATGTAGTTTTACTTTCTGCGGTCAGGTCGCCAATCAATCGTAGTTTCAAGGGCGGTTACAAAGATGCTCATCCAGAAGACATCCTGATGCCGGTGAGTCTCGGCAGGAGAACGCGCTGCACTGTTGCTGAATACAACAGATTATGAAAGCTGCAGTACAGCGAGCTGGCATCGAAAAAGTCGACGTCAACGATGTTATGATTGGGAATGTACTCGCCGAACTGGGCTTCGCGAAGACAGGGCGCATGGCGCTGAATCATGCCGGCTTTCCAAACTCCACGACCTTCCATACAGTCAATCGGCAATGCTCGAGCAGTCTACAAGCCATCACCCACATCTCACACTCGATCATGGTGGGTCAGATTGACGTGGGGCTGGCTGGCGGTGTAGAGAGCATGTCGAGAAACTACAGCTCGCGGGGCATCCCAGCCGATGTCTCACCCACGCTGCTTGGGTCGACCGTCAAAGATGCGCGCGACTGTCTTATGCCTATGGGAATCACGTCTGAGAACGTAGCGGAAAGATACAAGGTTGACAGGAAGTCGCAAGATGAATATGCGGTGCGAAGTCATGGGCGCGCAAGTCGCGCCCAAAAGGAAGGTCGCTTTGATTGGGAGATCGAGCCCGTAACGGTTCAGAGGATGGACGAGGCAACAGGCCAGCCTGCAGGGCACGAAGTCACCAAGGACGACGGCATTCGGCATGGGTTGACCTTTGAGAAAGTGTCGACGCTCAAGCCTGTGTTCGGCGAGAACGGCAAGAGTACCGCAGGCAACTCGTAAGTAGACATGACTCAAAGCCCTCGCAAAGCTGACCTTTCAGATCCCAAATATCGGATGGCGCATCCTCTACCATACTCGCCCGACGTTCGTGGGCTGAAGAACGTGGATTGAAGCCACTTGGCCGCTTCGTTGGCACCCAGGTCAAGGGTTGCGCCCCCGACGAGATGGGCATTAGCCCAATATACGCCATACCAGCACTTCTAAAGTGGACAGGTGTTGAGCTGAAGGACGTTGATATCATTGAGCTCAACGAGGCGTTTGCAAGCCAGACCATTGCGTGCATTCGGGAGCTGGGTCTCGATGAAGACAACGTCAATCCGAACGGAGGTGCGATAGCTCTTGGGCATCCCACCGGCGCGACCGGGGCACGGCAGACTGCCACATTGTTCGGCGAGCTGCTGCGTCAGGACAAAGAGATGGGTATCGTCAGCATGTGCGCGAGTACCGGCTTAGGCGTTGCTTCGTTGTTCGTTCGAGAGTCGTAGTTCCATAGAAATGCGATAGGTTGTGTTGATGCAAATCACGAAAGTGTCGCGCGCATCACGTGCACAAAGAGTCTAGCCACTTCCAATTGCTAGCGCGGAATGCAGAGGCTGGCCGCTTCCGAGCCTGGAGGCCGGCATTGTCTTCCCCACACGATCCATGGATGCTGGCTGCACCCGCGTCCCACACGTCCACCGCTACAAGGCCGCTATGTCTTGTATAGTGCTGGAGCTCCTTTTGGAGCTTCACCTCCCCTTCGTAACTCATTGAGGTGCTGCACCCACTGCAATACACATCATGTTCCTGTTTCGACGCGTCCCACTGCGTGCCATCCCCCGGCAAACCACCCTTCGTCTCCAACGGCGATCTCTCGGCAGCGTGAGCGCTATCGACTCAGTAATCTTCCGTACGCTGTTTGGAACCGATGAGATCAGAAAGGTCTTCGACGACAAAGCGTATATCAATCGATGCGTTGATGCTGAGACTGCTTTGGCAAGAGCACAGTCAAAGTGCAATGTCATACCATCTCATATCGGAGAGATCGTAACATCCAAAGCTCGCGAAGTCGAATTGGACTACGATAGGCTACGTAACGAAACTGAGATCGTCGGCTATCCGATCTTTCCTTTGGTGCGACAGCTCTCTGCATCATGCGGTGAGGAGGCTGGACGATACGTGCATTGGGGAGCAACAACACAGGACATTATGGATCTGGCAAGCATTCTGCAGATGAAGGAGGGCCTCGAGATCGTTGAGCGCACACTCCGCTCCGTCATCAAAAACCTCGAAGACCTGTCAAGAAAGCACCGGGATACGCCCATGGCTGGTCGCACCCATCTTCAACATGCTCTTCCTATCACTTTTGGCCACAAGTGCGCTATTTGGCTATCTGGGTTCCAACGACATCTCGAGCGTCTTGAGCAGCTCAAACCTCGCGCCTTGATGGTACAGTTCGGAGGCGCCGCAGGTTCTTTGGCTTCACTAGGTTCGGGCGATGATGGCATTCGTGTTCGAAAGGAAATGGCAAGAGACCTGGGTCTGACGGATCCTCCGATCACCTGGCACGTCGCCCGAGATGGTGTTGCAGAGATCACCAACTATCTCGCGCTTGTTGGTGGTACCCTCGGCAAGCTTGCCCTAGACATTATCATCATGTCTTCCAATGAGCTCTCGGAAGTGTCAGAGCCCTTTGTACCACACCGCGGTGCTTCCTCAACTATGCCTCAGAAGCGAAATCCCATCTCGAGCGAGGTCATCTTAGCCGCATCGAAGGTCCTGCGATCGAATGCTGGCTTGGTGCTGGATGGCATGGTATCGGACTTCGAGCGTGCTTCCGGCCCATGGCATCTCGAATGGGTGGCCGTCCCGGAGAGCTTCGTTATGGCTGTTGGAGCGCTATACCAAGCTGACTTTGCGCTCTCTGGTCTGGTAGTCAATTCGAAGCAGATGCTCACGAACCTCTACTCCACTAGAGGTCTTATTGTCGCAGAAGCTGTCATGATGGGTCTTGCTCCGCACGTCGGTCGGTCAAAAGCTCACGACGTTGTCTACGAGGCATGCAAAGAAAGCATTGAGAACGACACCAGCTTGTTGGAAGCTCTACAGACACGACCCGAGATTACCGATAAGATCTCCGGCGAAGAGCTGAGCTCATTGTGCGATGCAAAGAACTATCTAGGCTCATGTGGACTCATGGTGGACGAGGTCTTAGCTGCATCCAAATAGATCACATCCATGTCACTCAACAGGGCACAACAACCGCCATGCGTAGATATGAGAGAATCACATTCTGACTGGTTCATCTGAGTCAGCACTATATTTTCGATTGGTGCTCGTCTCAGAAGCAATGAAGAACCCCGCAAGTGCGCCACGTCCACATTACCATGACCTCCATGTGGGAAAGGCTATCATACTTTCATCTTACGAGTTCCACTAACCCGGTCGCGGCCACTATGTGGGCCTCTCACAGCTCCCGTAGCCCAGTTACCGAAACGGAAACCCCGCTATTATCAGGGTCGGGCCCCGCCACCACATACGATGCGCAGGCCGGACCACCCAAGTGCGGCAGATGTCGGCCTAGCATTCCACGGCCATGGATACTCCAATATAAGGCTGAAATCTTTACATGGTAAGCTAGATCACTCCTACAATCATCGTCATACGCTAAACACCATGCAAGACTTCAAAGAACGCCAGCTCGTTACCGACCCCCAAAAGGCATTTCACTTCACCGATCTCCAAAGACTGAAGCCAACGCGTGCAAACGATCCTTACGACTACCAAGCAGGATGGGGAAACCGACATCAGTCTGAGGTCATTCCTGGCACTCTACCTGTCGCTCAGAACAACCCTCAAGAAGTCCGGTTTGGACTTTACACTGAAGGCATTACGTATTCAGCGTTCGCAGCTCCACGTGCACACAACTTCAGCACTTATATGTACCGGTGTCGACCAGCGGCTGCTCACAGTACGTATTGCGGCAAGTTCTCGCAGACATTGGCTAACATGTGACAGAGGGTTACGTTCCTATCGAGACAAAGTCCAACATCACAAACTGCTTCTTGTCCATCAATCCCAAGGTCGACACGCTTCCCGAGCAAGCAGAATGGCGTCCGTTCCCACTGCCAAAAGACGACGAGAAGATTGACTTCGCGGATGGCCTGCATACTCTCTGCGGTAGCGGAGACCCAAACATCAAGGAGGGTCTTGCGCTATACGTGTATATGATTAACTCTAGTATGGAGCAGCGAGCGTTCTGCAATACCGACGGTGACTTCCTCATCTGTGCCCAACAGGGTAATCTAGATATCAAGACAGAGATGGGCAAGATTTTCCTACAGCCCGGTGAGATCTGTGTCATCCAGCGCGGCATCCGCTTCTGCCTCAATCTAGCACCGGGCACGCCAGTGGCGCGTGGCTACATCACAGAAGTATGGGGCTCTATGTGGGAGCTTCCTGATCTCGGCCCACTAGGCGGCCACGGTCTTGCCAACCCTCGCGATTTCCTCTACCCGGTGGCTGCTATCGATGATGATTTGCACGTGGACTGGCAGATCGTCAACAAGACGAACGGTCAGCTCGTGGCAATCCAACAAGATCACAGCCCCTTCGACCTTGTCGCGTGGCACGGCAATGTCGTACCTTACAAATACGATCTGACGAAGTTCTCGTCACAGAACAGCACATCCATCGACCACACTGATCCTTCGATCTTCACAGTGCTCACAGCTAAGTCCCGCGATCCCATGACACCACTCGCAGACTTCCTCTGGTTCGGCCCAAGATGGGATGTTGCAACCAACACGTTCCGGTTACCATACTTCCACCGCAATTCCGCGTCAGAGTTCCTTGCCTGTTTATACGGACAAGGTCTTGGACGAAGCGACGACTTCCAGCCCGGCGGTGGTAGCTTCGAGGGTGGCCACACGCCTCACGGTGGATTCCATGAGGGATACCAGCATGGCATGCGGATACACGAGAGCCAGCCCGAGAAGATCCTGACTGGTAAGTTGATCCCATCGCCGAGAAGTCGAACACATGCTAACAGACACTTAGACCAATTAACCATCATGGTCGAATCAAGCCGTCTGTTCCTCTTTACCGAGTACGCTCGAAAGGGCTGCGGAACAATCGAGACTCACGGTACCGACTACAAGGTCTGGGATGCTCTTCCAGACCGTTTCTCCGCCAACAAGAGAGCCCAGGAGTTGCTTGCCCGGATCAAAGACGACAAGATCGCTGAGAAGAAGAGACTTGCACCATACTACTTTGGCGGCTTTTCACATGGCGCAAACACCAGCGATACGGATGGTGTCCACGCGGAGGAGCTCAAGCAATATTTGAGCCCTCGGTCCAAGACCAACGGGACGAACGGCGTTCATGCATGATTGGGTCTCTATTTCCACGGTCTTGAGAGTTTGTAGGCGTTTTAGCGATGTAATTTTGCATTCTCCGATACTACATGTACACGATAATTTCAATTCGACACAATGAGCATCGCAAGCTTTGGCATAGCGAACTAGAAACGTCTGTGCATTCACACTCCATACCCTTTGCCGACCCCACAAGCGTCATGTGGGGCAGGAATCTCAAGAAGTTATGCTCGTGTTCTTTAACATGACTGTGTGTTGGCATGGCAGGTCTGGAGTAAGACCATGTCGTATTCTCTTGGAGCTGTCGCGAAAGCGGCTCAACGCGCGCACTTTCGACATGCGGCTAATCGGATCGCGAGTCGAACGTCGCAGACATGGAGGAGAGACATTGCGACGAAGAGCGATGTAGACAAGCAGATGGTTGAGAAACTACCTTTGGCTGGCATCAAAGTATTGGATATGACGCGGGTGCTTGCAGGAGTATGTAAATGTTCCCGTGATTGCAGACCATGATCGCTAACATCAAGTAGCCATACTGTACACAAATTCTTGGAGACCTGGGGTAAGCAGTAGATGTAACCTCATAAATCACGTATGCTGATGAGCGTTCAGAGCGGATGTCATCAAGAGCGAACACCCTACTCGAGGCGACGACACGAGGTCTTGGGGTCCACCAGATGCGCCCTATACCGATGGCATCGAACGTCAATTCCCTGGTGAAAGTGCATACTACCTATCCGTAAGTTGTGCCAGCGAGACCTGTTCTTCATCATGCTAAGTCAACACAGGTGAATCGCAACAAGAAGTCGGTCGGGCTCGCTTTCAACAATCCCACCGGCATCTCCATCCTCCATAGACTAGCCCAAGAATGCGATGTCCTCGTCGAAAACTACCTCCCCGGATCACTCGCCAAGTACCAACTCGACTACGCGACGCTTGCGAAGCTCAATCCCTCTCTAATATACGCGTCTGTCACCGGCTATGGGCAAACTGGGCCATACCGCGACCGCGCGGGCTACGACGTGATGGTCGAGGCTGAGATGGGCTTGATGCATATTACTGGGGAGCGAGATGGTCCGCCAGTCAAGGTCGGTGTAGCGGTGACGGATATCATGACTGGGATGTACACTGCGATCGGCATACAAGCAGCGTTGTATTCGCGGAAAGAGACCGGCTTAGGTCAGTGGATCGACGCGAGTTTGAGCGACGTGCAGGTATCGGGTTTGGCAAACATCGCCAGCAGCGCGCTGGTGACAGGGAAGGGCGATAGCGGACGATGGGGAACTGCACATGGTAAGCGCATACATGAATTATGTGCCAGAATGGCGATGCTGACTCCACCACAGCAACAGTAGTACCCTACCGAGCCTACAAGACAAAAGATACCAACATCGCAGTCGGCGGATGCAATGACCGCCTATACGGCATCCTCTGCGACAAGCTACAGCGTCCAGAATGGAAGACCGATCCCCGCTTCCTCACGAACGCACTACGCGTCAAGCATCGTACCGAGATCGACACGCTCGTAGAGGCCGAGCTCATGACCAAGACAACGCAGGAATGGTTGGAGATCTTCGAGGGAAGCGGCATGCCATACGCGGCTGTCAACGACATCAAGGGCACGGTCGAGCACGAGCACGTTCTTGCGCGTAATATGATCGAAGAGGTTGAGCACCCTGCTGTAGGCAAGGTGAAGCTTGTCAATCATCCGGTCAAATATTCGAGAGCAGAGCCGCGGATCAGGAGTCCGCCGCCGTTGTTGGGTCAGCATACGGATGAGATATTGAGGGACGTACTGGGGTACGACGAAGCTGGCATCAGAGAGCTGAGAGAGAAGAATGTAGTCGCATAGACGGTGGCGTAGTAATCGCGTACCCATTATTCCAAATTCCCATAAAGACGCGTCCAAAAACAAACAACTAGAGTACCAAGCGCGAGCACACACGTCCTCACATGATTCAGACAACTTCATCTCCGAGGTCCGATTCTTCCGACGCATTGGGACACAAACTGTCCGAGAGTCAGCCACCGAAATTTCCTGAGCCGCGTGTCGATTGTCAGCAAAGTGACGTTTCGCGTAGGCCCCACATCTCACCGGAACGCCTGGCCCCACATGCGCCATCGCCATGCACCCCACAACGTCCTTCACGCGACGTGCTCTTGGCCATATCGCGGGTGTATTGTGCCCTGCATGTGCCATGTGGTCTGGATATTGCAAGAGCCGTTCGTGTGGAATCATGGAGGTAGTGGGGATGGGAGGCGTACTGGTAGTGTGGTGGATGGTGGAAGGGCTGCATGGCTGGTAACGGCATGCTGAACGCGTGAAAGTCCAGATTGTATTGAGTACGTGTTTTCAAGATGGCGTCCAAGAGGGTTACCGTCGGGAATGGCAACGATGCAGCACCACTGCCTTTCCGCTATCAGTTTGCTGCTGGGGCTGTAGCTGGGATATCGGAGATTTTGGTAATGTGAGATTGTCTTGGTATCGGAGGTCAGAAGCGAGTGCTAAGAGTGTAGATAGGTATCCGCTTGATGTAGTCAAAACACGAATTCAACTTCAGCATGGCAAATTTGTCGATGGCGAAGGATACAATGGCGTTCTGGACTGCTTCCGAAAGATCATTCGCAATGAAGGTGTATCAAGACTATATCGTGGCATCACTGCGCCTATACTGATGGAGGTGCCCAAGCGGTATGACTTGCGTTCATGTCTTCGTCGATTGTGACTGATTGAAACAGTGCTATCAAGTTCTCCGCAAATGACTCCTTCACGCAGTTCTATCAACGCCTCTTCTCAGCCCCGAGCCTGACCCAAACTCTCGCCATCCTCACCGGTGCCAGCGCTGGCGCGACCGAGTCTCTTGTTGTCGTTCCCTTCGAGCTCCTCAAGATCCGACTTCAAGACAAGACATCCGCGTCACGCTACAATGGGCTGCTCGACTGTCTTGTCAAGGTAGTCCGCCAAGAAGGTCCATTGGCGTTGTACAACGGCTTTGAAGCCACGCTATGGCGACATATCGTATGGAATGCCGGGTACTTTGGCTGCATCTTCCAGGTACGAGCTCAGCTGCCTGCCCCGGCAACCTCGAGCAATCCAAGAAGGCAGAAGATGGGGAACGATCTCATAGCAGGGTTCGTAGGCGGTGTTGTAGGGACAACGTTCAACACACCACTAGATGTTGTCAAGAGTCGTATACAGAGCGTTGCCAAAACGCCTGGTGTAAGACAAAAGTACGCTTGGGCGTGGCCGAGCTTGGGGGTTGTTGCGAGGGAAGAAGGGTTCAGAGCGTTGTACAAGGGCTATGTGGCGAAGATCTTAAGGTTTGGACCTGGTGGTGGCGTATTGTTGGTGGTGTATTCCGCAGTGTTGGACATGTTCGCCAAGGTGGCATAGACATCCTCGTGTTCTGAAAATGGAAGTATCGGTGCCAATGATCTCCGATTTCCCGTTCTGCTCAAGATGATGTGCTTCGCTTGCCTATTTTTAATGTTGATATCGGAGTTTTCAATACACCGCCGAAGGCAGAGAGTATCTAACCATGGCCAACTGCATGCCCCTGCGTATTGACCAAACATCCAATACTATACAGCCTCACAATCTCTTCGAGCTAGGCAAAGACATGTCGCAAACTTGCTAGTACCTGGCGCTGTGCTTGTGGCGATTCAGTGTCGATTAGTTGATTACTTATCTGAGACGCCATTGTCTGATGTGCGACCCTCTAGCGGAAGATTGACGCAACGAAACGCAGCTAGCCGATATCCAAAGTAGCAATTGATTGATTATACGCACCAGATCAAGCAGAACTAGCCACCTTAATGAGGCGAATGAGACAGTGGATGATTCCAACAACGGTCAGCAGTCAGGGGAGGCCCCACTAGCGTACGCCTCATAGTCCCACATGCGAGTCGATCCGGGGTTGGTGTAGGACGAAATCCTTCGAGAAGTCTGGTAATTTGAGGGCGATTCAAAGGAGCATTTACCTCGTCATCCAACGGCCGTGATAAGGCACGGAGCGATCGGTGGTGCTAGGAGCTGGTACGGTGTTTGGCGATCAGATGAGGGTCCCGAGCGCCGGAGGTATCTCCAAGCGGCGACTATGGACCACCAACGTAAGGATCAGCTGTAGTCTTCGGATGCGCAGATGTGCGCGCGGCGCAATCTGCAGCAGCAGGATTGCAGGTTTATATGCATTTTGTAGATGAGTTGAGATGAGCCTATAATGCTTAGGCCGAGTCATGGTCTTGCTTTCCCCCGCAGCCGCGATCGCTTGGCGACCGACAGCACCTGCAGACTCCGGCCTGCGAAGGGTCCTCCGATCATCAGCCAACACATCAAATCTTTGCGACGAGCGACATGGCGTTAAAGCAGTGCAGCATGTGCGATCGCACATTCACCAAGTGTACGTGGCTGCCGACCGCGTGTAGAAAGTGTACTGACCCCGATTCCAGTAGAGCACGTGAAGCGGCACGAGCGGTCCCGTTCGTCCATCTCAAACCTCCATCATCAGCAGTGAGCTAAACACCATCTTAGACACACGAGAGCGCCCCTATGAGTGCCCGACATGCAAAAAGCACTTCTCGCGCAGGTGAGGCCCCCAATGAAAAACCTCCGTACTAGCGTCCAACCTCTTCATATAGCGATGTCCTGTTTCGGCACTGCAAAGGTCATGCGCAGAATGCGATGAACCGGATGAAGAGCAATGAACAACAAAACACCAACGACCCGCAAGAGTTCCGACACAACTCCATGGACGAGAATCAAACATCACGACCATCTGCCTCACGGAACGTAAACGGCCCGACTCCAGCACCAACACCATTGATCCGCGAAGACTCCAACTTCTCGCCCATGTCCAGGAGGAGAGAATCGCAAATACCGCAGATAAATGTGAATAACCACTACAATGCGCATCTATCACCCCCCACGGATGGCCGTCATTCTTCATCGCGGTTACAACCGCCGTCACCCGGTGAGGACCGGATCGAAGCGCTGATCAACGCGGCCCAACATCTGGAGCCTGGAGCAGACACACCCTGGCGGTCGCCATCGCCTATGATTATTGCGCGTGCCGAAAATGTTCAAATGTCAAATCGAAATCCCCATGAGAGCATGGGTCCACCTATTGACCCAGCTATGGAAGCCCTCTCGTTCTCGCCAGCCGGTCATGTCTCAAGTTTGGACCAGTGGGCTTTCGAACTTGTTCAAAGCAACAACCCAGTCCCCAATCGCACTCCTGCAGATGCGTTACAAACGTGGCTGTTTCCGCTCGAGGGCGATATGAACACTCCCCAAGGATCGCATCACCTCGGCGTGGAAGGCTTTTTCGAGCACGGAGCATTCCAAGCACTCCCAGAAAACCAGGCCAGTCCATCGGGCAGCAGTGTTTCAATAGCAAGCAGAGTGCCGCGAGAGCGGTTTCAACGAGTCCAAAGTTGTTGGCCCTCACGGAATCGCAAATCCTCCCGGCTTATGCCCGATCTGTGGCAGAACCTTGTAGCGTGCGAATGTACCAACATACTGTCGGAGGTCGGCTCTGGAGCTATGGAGACGCCTATGAGCGAAAGGGAGCGACGGAACTCGCGATGGGGATTGGACGAGGAGTGCAGAGGCAGACTTCAAAGCGCCTTGCACAACCTACCGGCATCAAATCCACCAAGATCCGAGTCATATGGCGACACGGCATCTTCAAGCGGTGATGCAGCAGGAAGTCCGAGCATCGAAGGTGTTCAATTTCCTCCTGCCGAGATCTTGGACATCGCTTTAGAGATGTATCTCTACTACTTCCACCCAACCCTTCCGATTATCCACATTCCGACGTTCTCTGCAAAGAATGCGCCACGGCCATTACTACTTTGCATGTGTCTCATCGGCCTGAGTATTCTTGGTACCGCAGGTGCAGCCAAGTTTGTCACTCGCACATTCCCGGTAAGCAACGCGAGAGCTGTACGTCTCACATATACTGACCCTTGATAAGGCTGTGTTACAACTCGCGTTGGCCGAGCTACAGACCCTTCCAACAACAGATCATCCGCCGCATCGGCAAATGCGGATCATTGCCACTAGCTTGCTAGCCTTGAATCTAGCGTCTATCACTGGAGTAGGTAGTAATCATCGATCATGCAGGTCATGAGCTAACGTTCGTGCAGCGGAAAAGCCGTATTGCGCAAGCTGAAAAGATGTATGCAGAGCTTATCGGGGTATGTGGCCATTTGTACTACGCTTTCGAACGTCAGACTAACATTCGTAGTTTGCGCAAAGTCAAGGTCTATTCTCCGCCAACGAGGGCGTGAAGATAGATCCTCTCTTGGATGAGATGATCGACATTGACTCAAAGTGGAAGGCTTGGTCAAAGGTCGAATGCAGCAAACGCATCATCTTTGGTCTTATCGAAGCAGACTGCTGGTGGGCAGGCTACCTCTCGACAGCCCCAATGATTCGCCCGGAGACAGTCCAGATTCTGCCGCCCTCAGATTACTCGCTCTACCATGTCAACAGCGCGGCGAAGTGGTTCCATCTCGTACAGCGCGGTGCGAGGATACACTCACAGAGGATAACACCATCGTTCCATCCGACCCCGGGCCTAAAGCTCGACGCATCAAGCTTCCGATCATTACTGACTCTCCTGTTACTACGCATCTACGAGAGCAATGACAGGCTTGCTCCCGCGACAGGAAACCAGAAGCAGCTCGAGCCTTGGCGGATATACGCCGAAGATCCCCGGAGTCGAGATATCCTTCCCTTGCTGGTGAACCTCTCCGGCTCTTCAATCGATGCGCTTCGCACTGCGGATCTGAACTCTGCCGTCCTTTGGCACGCCTCCTGTATGGTCCTTGGAGCGAACATACGCTACTTCGAACTCGCAGCAGGACGCTCCGGTCCCGAGCCTGCCGTCAACGCTCTGGAAGACATTTCAATGTGGTGCCAAACACCCAGCGCGAGAAGGAGTGTGTTACACGCTGCGCACATCTACAAGCTGCTCTTCGACCGCAAAGTCAGTGACATTGTCAACCCTCACAGCGTAGTTGCGCTGTTCCACGCCGCCCTCGTCCTAGGCCTATACATCTTCGCTCTTCCACCAACAGACAACAGACCCATGAGCGACTCTTGCATTGAGCTCCTCGACCTTGTAGACTGGATCTCCGTCGGCCAACTCGGTTTCATCGATACCCCACAATCACCCATAGGATTCGGCGACGCCACCCAAGTCGTAAACTTCATACACCGCGGCGGCAGCTTCAGCATAACAGGCATCGCACTCGAAGGCGGCTATCTTGCTGCTCGCCGTACTCTGCTCCATTGTTCAGACCTCATGGAGGGCATGGGTCGGTGGAAGAGCAGGACGTTCAGCCAGATATTACATATCATGAGCGATGACCTGACGGATTATGACGGTCGCGGCAACGACGATGGGGACGATGAGGTTGAGGGTGATGGGGAAGAGGGCGAGAGGAATTCTCGGTGACGGTTAGCGTCCTCTTCTCAGCAGTGTCTTTCAATTACTCAATTGCAAGGCCTGTGGGGAAGAGGATGATGGAGAGAAAAAAGATATATTGGTGGTCTTTGATTGTGATCAGAATTAGTTCGGGACGCTTCAACAGCGTGGTATAGAACAGTACGGAGGGTTTGTTGGTCCAGGAAGGTGTACACGATTTGCATTGGGTGGCGTTTGAGTCGCATAGTAACGGTGTTGCACAGCGACAGGCAGAGTTAGGATGCGGATCCGAAGTTTCGAAAAGTAATGTGTTTCTCATGGCCATCTACTTAATATATCATACTTCATTCCAGCCATGCAGCGCGCGGTTTTCTCCTATTGTTTCCATTCTCTCGAGAGAAAATTATGGATGCTGTGCTCGAGCGTACCGCTCGCACTTTTCCCATCGCAAAGTGAGCTCTGGTCGCCCCAACCTAATCTACACCTTCAGTCCGGTCAACTTCTCAATGAGCATATCGAATACTTTGCTACTGCAGTCAACGATTGATGCAGCAGTAGCCCAGAAGACAGCCGCTGGTATCATGCTGATGACAGTGATGAAAGTAGGGTATTGTGGAAGACTGGCGAGCTGCTGCTGTTCTGGATCAGATGTACTATCTGACTCCTCAACATCGGCATCATTCTCCTCGTCCTGCTCGACAAGCAAGTTTGATCGACGTGGCGAAGGCAGTCTGGACTGCGGGCGTTGTAGGTCGATCCATTCTTCTATCTCGGAATCCGCGGGATCAGATGCGCTTTGGAGGAGTAAGGTCTCGTCTCTGGCCCTCGCAGGAGTTCCGCACATGATCAAGTCGCCAGCTGGTCCGCCTTCCATCACAGTCTCTATCGGTGCAAGATCCATGTCCCTAAATCGATCTAGATTTATCAGCTCCCTCTGCTCCGCCGCTTCCTCCTCTTTCAC